TCCCTCGCCAACAGGTCCAGTGCCAACAACCTGAATGGCACCCAAGAATACCCCTACACCAGCATGACCCCTGAAGAGCGTGACCGAGAGATTCGTAAACAATTCCAAAAGGTTATAAAGGGTTGGATGGGTGTTGCATTTCTGGGAACCGTTGTCTGGGTCACATATCATCTTACTGGTTTCATCGCTACAGAACGCGAAAGTGGCATGTCCACATTGATCGATGCCATGATGCCAGTGCGAAAACCATGGCTCGCCATGGTCGCAAGGATTATTGCGCACCACCTTTCGTTCTCTCTCATCTACCTACCAGCATGGATTATTGGCTCCATTATTGTTCGCGGTGGTGTTTTCGCCAAGACTAGCGTTGGCATTGTCCTCGTTTTCCATGTTCTCACTGGCCTTGCGTTCTCGTCTATATCCATGTTGTTTGCATCCTTCTTCCGAAAGGCCCAGTTGAGTGGTATTACCGCCATCCTGGCCGTCGCCCTACTCGGAATTCTTTCGCAAACCCTCTCTTCGCCTGGCACTGTCCCTGTCGCCGTTCTTTCGATCTTCTTCACCCCTAGTGCCTTCGTGTTCTTTATCAGCAACATGGCACGGTTTGAGGAGCTCGAAATGCCGACCGACTTGCTGAAAGTGGCCCCTGGAAGCCCTTCGGCGCTCCCAGGCATTGCTATTTGGATATTCTTGATTGTCCAGATATTTGCGTATCCCCTGATAGGGGCTCTTATCGAGCATGCTCTGTATAGCAATGAAACGTCAGGCCGAAAGATGTTGCTTAACCAGACAGACGTGGATCGAATTGGTAGTAATGCTGTGCAATTGCGACAATTCTCAAAAACATACAAGCCCAGCTTCTTTTCAAGGATATTCCGCCGAGGTCCCAACAAGAAGCCGCCTGTTCTCGCCGTGAACGGGCTAGATCTCGATATTGGCCAGGGGCAAATTATCGCACTTTTGGGTGCCAATGGCAGTGGAAAGAGCACGACGCTCGATGCTATTGCAGGCATGAACAAGTTGACCAGTGGATCGATCGAAATCGACGGCAGAGGTGGTCTTGGTATCGCTCCCCAAAAGAACGTGCTCTGGGACGACTTGACAGTGGAAGAGCACATTAGAATCTTCAATCATCTAAAAGCTCCTAACGCCAGGGCTACCACACAAGAGATTGAAGATCTGATCAGATCCGTCGACCTCTACAAGAAGCGAAAGGCTTTTGCAAAGACTCTCTCGGGTGGTCAGAAGCGCAAGCTTCAACTGGGACTCATGTTGACGGGAGGAAGCGCCGTGTGCTGCGTTGATGAAGTCAGCAGTGGCATTGACCCGCTGTCGAGACGAAAGCTTTGGGATATCATTCTGGCTGAACGTGGTAGACGCACGATGATTTTGACCACTCACTTTTTGGATGAGGCCGATCTTCTTGCCGACCACATCGCCATTCTTTCTAAGGGAACTTTGCGCGCAGAAGGCTCCTCGGTGGCCTTGAAGGACAATATGGGCGGTGGTTACAGAGTCCATGTTCCCAAGGACATTGGCATTCGAGAAACCCCAGACATTGATCAAGTTGCAAAGAAGGATGCCTTCGACCTCATCACATACACTGCTCCCACCTCACAACTCGCAGCTGTTGTCATCAAGAGTCTTGAAGCTGCTGGTATCACAGAATATCGCTTCTCGGGGCCAACTATCGAAGATGTTTTCCTCCAGGTTGCTGAGGAGATCAGAGATGAAGAAGCCTTCCGCAACGCAAACCACGCCTTGTCTGTCCCGTCATCCGAAAAAGTCACCTCCAAAGAGAAGCAAAGCGAAAAGCCAGGTTTGGCACTTACAAATGGACAACGAGTCGGATACGTAAAACAAAGTTTGATTCTATTCCGCAAGCGCTTAATTATTCTAAAGCGGAATCGATTTTTGTATCTGCTTGCCTTTCTTCTTCCAATCTTCGCTGGTGGATTGACTACCCTTTTTATCATTGGCGAAAGTACGACCAGTTGCGTGCCAGGGGAACAATCAACCCGAGCTGTTCAGAGGGAAAACGCGTTCGACGAAACAGAAGGAGAAGACAACATTTCAGTGCGCCTCTTAGCTGGGCCGATATCAAGGTTGAGCACTGACATGTTCAGCCTCATAAATCCCATCTTAAAGGGTGAAGGTGGGAATGGAAACCAAAGTAGCTTCGACATAAGAAACAGTCTTGACTTGGTCGAGACTTTCCAGCAATTCAAGGACAAGATCGAGACGGATCGAAAGAACATCACCGGGGGAATCTGGCTGGGCGATGATGAGCAAGGTCCTACATTTGCATGGGTCGCAAATCTCGCCATCTCCATGCCTATCTTGGCACAGCAGATGCTTGATATCATGTTGTCCAACGCTAGTATCGCAACCACTTGGGCTCCTTTTGAACTTCCCGTGAGTGACACTACGGGTGATGCACTTCAAATGATCGTATACATGTCGATCGCTCTCTCAGTCTATCCTGCATTTTTCGCACTCTACCCAAGCAATGAGCGGCGCAGGTTCGTCCGTGGTTTACAATACTCGAATGGTGTTCGGCCGTTCCCACTCTGGATAGCCTACCTCCTGTTTGATCTGATCGTTGTCCTGGTTAGCACAGCTATCGTGGTGGCGATATGGGCTGGTGTCTCCGACATCTGGTTCAATATTGGTTACGTCTTCCTCGTCTTGTTCCTATACGGAATAGCTTCGACACTCTTTGCATACCTTATCTCCCTCTTCACTAAGACACAACTTGGAACGTACGCCTGGGCAGCGGCGAGCCAGACTCTCATTTTTGTCGTCTACATCATTGCGTACATGTCGGTGTTGACTTACTCGCCCGTGACCAAGGTTGACAGCTCCTTGCGCCTTGTCCACTTTGTCATTTCCGCATTCGCCCCCATTGGTTCAGCATTGAAAGCGCTTTTCATCTCTACAAACCTCTTTTCTACGGCATGCGATGGCAATAGCCTGACAAAGAATCCAAGCGGTATCTTGTACTATGGTGGACCCATTCTGTACCTCATCCTTCAATCACTCATCTTCTTTGGTCTTTTGATTTGGCTCGATACTGGGTCAGCGGGAGCCTCACTCCGGGGTCTCTTCCAGAGAGGGAACAAAGCCGAATCAGATGAGGAACATGTTGACGAAGACCTCATTGATGAGCGCGAAAAAGTCACCCGTAATGAGGGGAATGAGCATGGCCTCCGAGTTATGCACCTGACGAAGAGCTTCCGCGACAACATAGCTGTCGACAACGTCACCTTTGGTATCAAGCGTGGCGAAGTTTTTGCTCTACTTGGTCCGAATGGTGCAGGAAAATCAACAACCATTTCTCTTATCAGAGGTGATATCAAGCCAGACCGAAATGGAGGCGATGTTTTGGTGGAAGATATATCGGTCAACAAGAACCTCGCAGGTGCTCGAGCTAACTTGGGCGTCTGCCCTCAGTTCGATGCTATGGATCAGATGACGGTACGAGAGCATCTCGAATTCTACGCCAAGATCAGAGGTGTCACCGACATCGAGCACAACGTGCGGGCTGTTATGCAGGCGGTAGGACTCGAGTCATTTTCTACGCGCATGGCGCATGCTCTATCTGGAGGCAATAAACGAAAACTGAGTCTAGGAATCGCTCTAATGGGCAATCCTACTGTTGTGCTTCTGGATGAGCCTTCGTCTGGTCTCGATGCTGCTTCAAAGCGTGTTATGTGGAAGACGCTCGAGGCTACTGTCCCTGGAAGATCGATTCTTCTCACGACACACAGCATGGAGGAAGCGGATGCATTGGCTGGTCGTGCTGGCATTCTTGCTCGAAGGATGCTTGCTCTAGGAACACCAGATAATCTTCGACATCGCTTCGGTGATGCCTTGCATATTCATCTTGTCGCCAAAAGTGCCCCTCGTACTACTCAGGAGGAGATGGACCGAATGACAAACTGGATTCGGCAAACTTTGCCCTCAGCCGATGTTGATGAGAAGACGTATCATGGCCAGATCCGCTTCTCAGTGCGTGCTAGCCAAGTCCTCGCAGCAACTTCTGGTCGCAAGGAGGAAGAGATCACAAGAGACCAAGAGGTTGATCTGAGCCAGAGTGCCATTGGACACCTAGTTGTGTTGCTGGAGGAGAACAAGGCAGAACTCGGCGTGGGTCACTACAGTGTCATGCCAACAACGCTGGATCAGGTCTTCTTGACTATTGTCGGACAACACAACGTGAAGGAAGAGAACTCAGAAGAGAAGGAGCAAAGCATCTGGCGCAAAATCTGGATGTTTGGGAGGTCATAGTGCACTTTTATAAGGCTGGGGTGTTTGGCGTTGACAATAGGTTTTGTTGAATAGAAATTATGATTATTATTCTCATAGCAAGAATTCCTTAGACTAGATGTAAGAATCTCTAATTGGCACTTCAGTGAGCATGTGTTGGTTGACAGTTGTTTGTGCCTTGCTCATGTCCGCGTAAACTCCCTCTCTCTCCACTGACATCAGTCAATGAAACTACTGACAGCTGCATTTTTCAGTGAACATGACAATTTTGATTCCATGGTTGTTCTCTATTTTGCTACGGCTACTTTTACGCCTCTGACATACTTCAGTGAATGTCTTCCTACCTTTTACTTGTTCACCGAACATTTACTTGTTCTGCCATGCAGCATGGACTAATCGACAAACAACAAAAGACTTGGAGAACAACAACGTTTGAGTTCTCTACTTGTTTTCTCACCTGCCTTGTTCACTTAATGTACCATCACAGATGTCTTGTTCTAATACGCTATGAACAAAGGAGCTTCAGAACACCGCTCAAACATGTTTATAACTTATGAGTATATATATATCGAGTGCTTCAACATAACCGGAAATCCAACAGCTCCAACCACAATTTACACATCAACACAGAAACAACAGTTTCAAAAGCTAAACTATCAACTAATTTTTTTTTTAAAACAGCAAATCACTACCACATCAACAATATGTGCTACCGAATAATCACTCACACTATGCGCTGCGATGCGCGACCCGTCATTTCTGATGGTAGCAAGGTCTACGCTGACCCCTTCGCCTATCCCCTCCCATGCAGCTGCGGCCCTGAGCACTTCGTCCCAAGTTACCTTCGATGCGATGATCATGGCTGCTGTATGAAGAAGGTCAGCATGGATTGGTGTCCCCACGTTGCTGATTGCAACGAGGTCTACGAAGTTCATCGCTATGTCCAGTCTCGTCGTCAACCACGAAATATCTGGGGTCCCATTAACATGGCCGGCGACAGCTTCAATTCTCTCCGGAGTCTTCCCATGATTCAAGAGAAGCAAAAGACTTGGGACCATCTTCCGGATTTGGAGAACTGTCTCTTCACTGGAAAGATGCCACACTTGACGGCTGTCCCACCTCCTTTTTGTAAGGCTGTTGAGAACCTTGCCAACACTGGCCGTCTCATTGTCCAGACACAAGATCAGCTGGGTGCTCTTCGCAACGAAGTCGCTGTTCGCCGAACCATGCATGACACTTTCCACGGAGAGGCTTGCTCGCGTGTGCTTAATGAGTGGGAGTGCCTTCTCCAAGGACCTGTGGTAACTGGAGAACTGCTTGAAAAGCAAATGGTTGAGAATCTTGTGAAGCAGCAGGAGATCTTCAACACATGCTGGACCTTCATTCAGAGCATGATGTGGTCTCGTCAAGTGAGCAAAGACCTTATGATCCAGAATGTACCAGTCGTTTGGGATCAGTAGAAAGAACCTGGGTCGTCTCCTTTGGGTGTTTGGCGGTTGAATTTAGAATGCATTTTTTGAGTTGGGCGTTTGGGATAGGGAAAGGTTAATTTCGACAATAGAGGAGGATATAGAGAATAACGAATTTGGACCTCGTTTTATATAATAATCGTTCGGGTCACAATGACAACGTAAATATCCTAAATAGTGAAATCTTCTATATGCTTGACGGAAGCTATGGGTGTATAGATGTAAATAATTTTCTGCTTAATCAGCAACAAAAGCCGTCATCGTATAGGGGTCAGTACATCAGTTTGTGGCTCTTCGAAGCACTGAAAACGCAAGTTCGAGTCTTGCTGACGGCAAAGCAATTATCTTTTGCTGTTTTTACTAGATTATCTTTGTTTTTGGTGATGGCCTTTTGGAGCTTACAGCGATGACGCACCAGTTGAATTACCCCTCCAAACCCCTCCATCCATCACAAAGGATAGCTGAACAGTGGGCGGTGGTTAATTGGTGAACGTTCACTTATAGCCCTTGTCTCGACGTTGGAGACATCCGCTTTTTTTATTGCTGGTCTTTTGTCTTTGTCGTTAGTAAGTCAATTGCAATCTGTTGAGAACCTTGAGCTTGCAGTTATTTGCAGAAGTCGAAGCTTCAGACAGAAGTTCAACTCATAGAATCAATAGAGGATAGACAGCATGTCGCTTCAAGAGTGCTATACAAAAGGGCATGTACTTAAAGCCTGTCGTATATTCTAGCTTACCTAAACAACTTGACATAACTAAGTGCTCCTATAAAGATGCAGGACTCTCAAGGAGTAAAGAACCGAAACTGGAGCTTAGCTCATGATTTATTTAGTACAACCTTATGCCAAAAGACTCTTAAAAAAGCTGACATCACATCTTGAAAGCTACAAGAAAAAAAAGTATCTGATATATCTTTAAAAATAGAATTTTGCCGTCAGCAAGACTCGAACTTGCGTTTTCAGTGCTTCGAAGAGCCACAAACTGATGTACTGACCCCTATACGATGACGGCTTTTTAGTGCTTGACATGGGGTCGAGAATTACAGTTTATGTACGTCTTTGCTCACCCCACTCCGTTATCGGCACAACTTGGTAAAAGGTTCAGAGCTTCTCTCACGAAACGCACAAATCATTTACAATAACAGCGGCGTTCCCAAAGCCAAAAAGGAGATTTTGTTATTAGGTCGACTTTTGGTTTAAAGAGATTCAATAATGACTAGGTTCAATACTGGCTTAATTTACCTTTGGAAGGTCCTGCATTGGACATTTAGTCAGCTAACGGAGAAAAGGAAGCAATAACTGCCTTGAGCCAATTTACGCTTCGACCTGCACAACAAATATCACTTTCTCAACAATCAAGTTTTTAACATTTGTTCTTTATTTACTCAATATCTTGTCGGACGCTGCTTTGATAACAAAAAGAAAGACCTAAAAGGTAGCAGCAATGGTATCCTACAGCTCCTATCCACAAAATAATCCCATTTACAATGCCCCACGCCAGATAACGCCTTGGATGGTGTCGAATTCTATCCGGACAACCGTTCATTTCTCATTTGTCGAGTCGTTTGTTTATTTGGTGATCCAGCCAAGGTAATCAGCAACGATCAATGTCACCATACTGCAAGTCAGTTAGCGAATTATTCAACAGTTCCGGGTATCAGAAAGACTTACGCGTGAGGAGCGATGCGGACGTAGTATGTACCGAAACCACGGTAGAAGCGGCCGAGACCCTCTTGCTTAGCAACCTTGGAGAAGCAGTCCATCATGCTGCGGTAGGGAAGCTTGCCGTCGGGTCCCTTGGATTGCTTCTGGAGTCGTGTCTTGACAAAGTCGAAGGGCAACGAGAAGAAAGAGGCGAAGAAACCAGCAATTGCACTGGCAGTGAGAGTCTGGGTGCGGGCAGAGAGGTCGGTGTTGTTCTTGAGTTGGACCTTCGCTTCACTGAAGAAAGCGAGCTGACCAAAGTTGAGAGCCATAGCTCGTGCGACTGTGGGAGCAGCACCGGCCCAGAGAGCACCGACACCTTCGCTCTTGGCGATGCTGGTGAGAGCATCAATGACGGACTTATAATTTTTTCGCTCGGCCAGGGGCTTGAGGCCGTCACTCTGCATTCGGATGAGAGCCAGATCAGCAGGGTTACCAATCATGGCAGCGATACCACCGGCAGTGAGACCAGCAGTAGCTCGCTCGGAGAAACCGACTGAGCGACCATCAGCCTTGGCTCGGGCGGACAGGTTTCCCATGAGCGTGTCGAACATGCCCAAGCGGGCAGTGGTGTAGACGGCCTGGCGCAAAAGACCAGCTGAGAGACCTGTGTACAGGTCAAGGACCTTTCCACTGGCGATGATCTGTCGAGTGACGGAGAGAGGAGAAGGCTTAGGGCCAGAAGCAGTTCCCTCGCCAGCGAGTTGAATGCGGACCTTGACCATGTCGACAGGCTGGATGACAGTTGTGGCCACCATACCGCTGATACCACCATTGATGAAGGGGAGAGCGGCCCTCATGAGAGGAGTGTGAAGAATATCATTGGCAATAGCGGCCGAGTCACCTCGAGCAGCTCCCAACACATCGCTAGTCTTTGAGCGAGCTGATTCAGCTGCTTGCTTAAGTGATTGGCTCATGATGAATGGGTAAGGTGGGTTCGGTTCGAGGAGAGGTCGATCTAAGTCAAGACGAGTTCGATTCGAGTGAGTCGTCGTCTAAGAGGATGGGTAGGATGAGCTGCTCGAGACTGGTCTGGTGTAAGTACAAATTCAGTCCCAAGACGTGGGCATGGCTGGGGCTTTATAATATCATGGCTGCTATGGATGGGATGTCACCACCAACTACAACCGACTATGGCCGTACACTCAAACTACAGCCATGATACATGATGATCCAGGAACCGAAGACTTCCGGCGTTTGACCCGAGGCGGGTGGCATGGCCGCTGGGCTTGGTCTTGGGCTTGAACTTGGATGGAGGTGGATGCCCGGCCCTGAATGTCCTCTGGTGTGGGGGATATCGAGGCTTGTCTTGGGGTGTCTATGAGTGACATGGAGGGTGTGTGCAGAGGAGGACTATGAACTGTGGCCGGGGGTAGATTCCCGCTGGGCCCCTCCCGCGGCACAGTGGATCTGCCCCCGCCATGGCCCGTGGATGTGTTTGGCTTTGGCTGGGCTGGGCTGGGTCTGGATACAGGGCACGGCAGAGCAATGACATGGGCATCAACAGAGAAGAGCTTACCAAAACAACGAGCAGAAAGAAAATCGATATCCGAGGATTCGAGCCTTCCCGTTTGATTCCGCGTCTAATTGCCGCGAACAATTAGACGACGTTACAGACTGGAGATGGAGATGGAGACGAGCCCAGAGCGGGGACTGCTTACAACGGAGATTGAAAGGCGAAACAAAGCTGACTGAGACGGCGACCCAACTTGTTGACGGTTGAGCAAGAGGAATAATTCGGAACCGTTGGTATTGGGAAACAAGACGGATATTGTTGTTATGCAGGTCTCTCAACAATGGTTCAATACGGTAGCAGCGAGGACAAAAAGAGGCTTTCCGATCTGCGTCACGTTCAGATGATGAAGGAGGAGCAAGATGTGGGAGGGAAGGCAGAATTAAAGAACAACAGAGGATGGGCTATTGATACCTCTTTCAGGTAAAGGAAAGAACAAGGAAAGAGGGGAATAGCATTGCGTGTCTCCGAAGAGGGCCGACAACCGAGAGAAAGGCGAGAGAGAGGAAGCTCTACTGCTACATCAAAGGCAGCACGAGACCTGCCGTGATGTTGATCCAACTCAGCATCTACTGGCGCATCGATATGAACCACTGGCGACCCTCCACTAGTGGCCAGAGATGGAAGAGAAGGGCAGACGCCGAGCCACTCACCGAGGAACGTCACCATACCAAGGTTCAGTCCGGTGTCAAGCTTGGCCCAAAGTTGTAAGCTGTTGCACAGTGAGTGGTTGCTCTGTTGTTTACGCGTTCAGCTACGGGCTATCGGCTGCAACAGTACAATACAACTACACAGTAACTGTTCCTGTTGCTGTTGAAATGCGGGGTTGATGCTTCAGGACCTGGTTTGATAGAAGCGGATTAATTACATGTTGATCCAAGATCCCGAGAGTTTAGTCGCCTAGTTAGTACCATGTAAGTGACAGTGACAAAGGTTAGTCAATTCGAGTTGTAATCAACGTGACGCTGTTGGTGCCTCGGGATTGGCAACCCCTCATTCTTCTGTAACTGCAACCACCAAAGACCTCTCACAGCATCGCACAGTACAGTATTGGGGACGGTTCCTATTCTTGACTGGCTGGACCGGCTTCAATTCTTCAATTATAGCAATTCTCTCAAAGCTATAATAAGAATCAACGGTTTCTATGTTTATTTGACTTGTTCTGCAATTCATATCCACTTCAATAGAGCTCCAGCTCCAGCTGCAGTGTAGCTTAAGCTTTGGACTTGCTTACGCTTGAAAATGAGGGGCTGGCCACGTCCAAAAGCAATTCATGTGGAAGTGACTGCAGCTACGGCAGGTGTGAAACAGTCACAAGCTCACAAGCTCAATCTCCTCTCAAAGCCAAGGCCTGGGCTCTCGTGTTTTCCTACACCAAAGTTGAGAGGTTGTTGTTGGGCGAACGTGGAATGAATGGTTCAACGTATGACGCAACCGACGGTAATAAACGGGAGCTATCTGATAGGCTAGATTTATCTATCTACCAATGAATGCTTGTCAACGTTCGGTGTTTGAAAGTGACATGGTAGTAGGAGATATCATTTCGAAGAGCTTTTAAGATAATGAAGTCTATGCGATCTGTAAAGAGTAGAGACTTCAGCTGTAGGCATGTGTCTGCAAATTACCGCTCGTACTACCGCCGCTTGCGCCGCCGCAACCCAGGACCGGCTTTCCATTATACAGCGCCTGCGGAGCATTTTATACCAGAACTCAACTCCGGTTCCGGGCCGGGATTAACATCAGATGCAAAAGAGTCGTCCCCTGAAAGCGAGGCGTCAATGTGCTTCTTCTTCTGATGCTGCATCTTGCATGTGCTAGCTATGGCATCTGATTTGCTTTTGTTGCCTGCTAAAAGCCGGATACATCCCACTCGGCAGGTGATAAGATGCTGTATAGACACGAGAATTATCCTGGGCCTCTTGTTGATTAGTTGTGCAACGCAATAGTCAAGCCTCGCCAACAAAAGATATCGATGCTCAACAGCAACTGGACCTGATCCATCAGCGCGGCTCGTAGTGGATACAGGCGTTAACACTGCCGATTGAGGCTCCACAGGGCTACGGCTACAGAGAGTCTATTCAATGGACTCTATCGCTGCAAACCCCTGATCTCTCTTTGCTCATTGCTACCCCTCCAAAGGTTCTATGCTTCGAGATATCAACACAATGGCCAGACTATCCTTAAATCGCGCGTCAAAAAAAAAAAAAAAAAAAAAAAAAAAAAAAAAAACCTGTTCTATCATACCTAACTAGAAACATCCAATTCTCAAACCTTACAGCTGCATACAGAGCTGTTTAATTCCCGGCTAGTCTAGACCCTATTTCCGTCCCACCCCCGGCCGTCATCAGGAACCAAGCAAGGGTCGTCTCGAACTAGGACATTGAAGTCCTGACGTGATGCAAGGATACCAAAGTTACGACATTCTTTGCGCTTAGCTTGGCTGTTGTCTAATTAAAGCCGCAACACTGGCCCGTTCATGTTTGATATCCTCGGTTATGGTGTGAAAAACTTCATGCGACGGGCTGTGTAAACACGTCACTTTTCCAGGAATCCGAGGAAGATATCCGTAGATGGGGTGAAGATTGGCTCAGTAGATCAAGGGTATTTGCTCATCTAAACCATGACTATGAGTTCATGCCGTGGCAGACTGATGTCGCATTTCACATGTAAACTGTCTTGACTCTCTCAACAACAGGTAACCAAACCGTTCATAACGGCCCGTTTCTCACAAGATATGTAATGCAACGCGAAGGCGCTCAACAACAGACACACATCAGAGTACGGCTAGGGCGGTTAGGATGGGTCTTAGAACAAGAGCCTCAACTTGAGATAGTGTCCATTTACAAGGCTACCTATTCATCTAGTTAGTGGAGTCTCTGGAAATTCTAGGCGTGGTCGATCAAGGGCAACACTCACTCATTGGATTCTTACGAGTCCGGCGCAGGTCCCGAGGAAGTATATTCCGAGGAGACACCAATTTTCGGAGTCGTCACTACCGATAAGCAGACCGCTAACACATCCTTTACCTCTACGGGGCCCTATCTTATCATAGCAGAGATTCAATTGCAAGATAAACATGTGAATTAGGTTGGGGTTTCAACAAGACTCGATAGTCTGGATCGTGTCTCCAAAATTGGAGTTGAGACATGGAAAATTTTCATCATGGAACCCCAACCCCCAAAGATTCAGCCCTAGCAACTTGAACCCCAAAATCTCGAGATTCTTGCATATGACGAAGAGCAGGGAGTGCGCGGGGCCCCTTATGCTTTATGGCATCTCCGGTTTATTCGGTCCTATCTGCCTATAATCTACTCCGTAGATAGCTTGGGGGAACTGGCACAGATGGTTAGGCTGTGATATCATGGGAGACTATTTGGAGCATTTGGGGGTTCTGGTCTGCCCATCCTACATGCAAGATGCCATCTTGAGCCACAGCAGCCTCACCATGACCCTCTCAAGAAGCACGTCATTAGACATGTAGAAAGTAGACAAACATGATGTTGAGCCATTAACCCCCATCTTTGTCTTGTCCTGAAGACCTCATCATATCAATCACCCCATAGCACGGCAAGGAACGGGTATCGACGCCTCGATAGAGTTGACTTCCATCTCCAACAGGGTTACTCCAACACTCCATCTCGAAGATGGTCCCCCAGATGTCTCCGCCAAGATCACCCGACTTTTACTATTTGTTGCCAGATATTATTCCTCGCCAAGAATCACACCTCGACGAAAATAGACGCCGTAAATGTTTGAGACTGTTTCGGCGGAAATGCAAAACTCGCAAGGTCGTATCCTCAGATAACATCATGATGAGTGGTTGGCTACCTCACCCGGCTTTAGATGTGCGAGAAACACAGCCTGCTCTCAGTGACCTGTAGAATCACATTATTAGTCTCTGCCTGTCCACATCCCGACTTATTTCTTGCGCCTAGTCCATGTCTTAGAACCCCACGGCTGAGCTTGCCAAGCTATGCTGAATTGTTCCTCAATCACCGGACTTCAAGTTGCGGAAGTGCATTTCTCTCCCCTGTCAGCGATCCATGTACATAGTCTCAGTCTAGATCCACAAGGCATCTCTCCAACGGCATCTCATTGATTTGATTGACGGTGATGCTTGAGTTTGCAAACCTGTCTACGATAACTGGCCGGCAACTAACCGAGCCGAACGGACTGAGTATAGAGCCCTTCGGATTACGAGATGTAACAACGTGCATGCTCCGAATTGCCTCGTCATCACGCAAGATCTCCCTGAGAACAGGGTTTCGAGCGAAATGGCATTACTTAATTCACACCCAATTTAAATGCCTCCATTCAGGGTCCAATAGATAGTTGTAGGCGGTGGTCTAGGAGTTGAGGCGAAGCATTTTGTGTGATATATCCGAGGTTATGGTGACAAAGGCTTGTCTCGACTTGTATCGCGCTTTTCAGATGGACATTACATACACCGCTTGGCAGTTAGCCAGCCACGTAGGATCAACAAGTTGTTGAAACACCATAACCGAACAATACCGCGGGTATACCATTGACATAAAAACTGGATGACGTGTTAGGATGAGAATACTATGATATCAAGAAGAGGATCATTATTGCTCCTGCTGAATTACACTCGGCCCATGTCCGAGGGAGTGGAAGATGGATCCCGAGTAAGGTGATCAAATATGGACTCGATATGCAAGATATTCTCTGTTCAGACATGAAAAGGTCCGAAAACTTGACTATGGTTTGCTCTGTTGTTCAAAGCTGTCTGAGACTCAAATAGGACATATTTGTGAAAGGTTAGGTATGCTGACTTCGCCGCAGAATCTAATCTTCCTTTCAGATCACTTACACGTTGCAGTGTAGGTACCTAGTTTTGCTTAGACCAACCCATCATCCAGAATAGTTATAGACTTCTATCAAGCTTCTTTTATATGCACAATCCGATACTAGCTCCATCGAAGTTATAATAGACATGGATAATTAATGATCGGTGCCGCATCCCCCGCATACAAATCGATCCAATGTCAAGATCCCCACCATCGCCAGGCGCGCCAGTTCGCACTGTGTGTTCGCCACAAGCTTGGGCGTCTGTGCACAGTAATCGGGTTATCTCTCGCACTAATGGAGGTTTCGTTGCGGCTCCGATATAGAACTTTTTTGCGACACTGCGGAAGCGGTTTTCCAGCAACATAAAAAGGCCAGACAATGCCAAAACGAAAGCGCGGGGAGCCCAATCTTGGGGATAAGCTTGAAAAGCACTGTAATGATGTCTCAAAGGCACTCAAGGCTGCAAAGGGCCTAGAGCGCCAGCGATATAGTAAGAGACTTCATGAAGATGGAGTTGAGCCTGATAAGAAGGAAAGACTGGAACGAGAGGTGACGGTCTTGAAGGTGAGTCTTCACAAGGCGCGTTGTCTCAATTAATAGTCTCCTAACGAGAATTATCTAGTCTCTTGACCTTCATCAAACAGCGCGCGCTCACCTCTACTCGTCGATCCTCAAAGTCAAAGACCTTGCTGCATCCACCGACCTCCCCGAAGAGATTCGCACCGGCGTTCCCAAACCCGAGCTTACTCCCGAAGAACAGGCTGCGCTACACAATGTTACCAGTGCACTATATAATCGTGAACTCGTCAAACAAGCCATCACCCGCGCCATCAACACCTTCTGCCAGGCCCTCGACGTCCCTCTACCCGGAAAGGCGAAACGCGTACGAAAGTCCAAGAAGGAAGAGAAAGAGGAACAACCGTCTGATAGGATAGAAGGGGAGCCCAAGGCTGAGGCTAGAGCTGCTAAGGAAGACGTGCGAGCGTCAATTGAGAAGGAGGATGAGGTTGAAGAGGAAGAGTCGGAATTCGAGGGGTTCTCAGATCATGACGATCCTGTTCAGGAACCTGAAGAGCTTGACAGTGAAGATGAAGCGAAGGAAGAGAAATTTTTGTCCAAGTATGATCACTTGCTAGGCGGCTCTTCCGATTCTGAAGACGAAGACGATTTCGACGATGAGAGATTCGAGCGCTTCAAGGGCAAAGAGAAGGTCAATCTCGACGACATATCCGTTTCTGGCTCAGATGCCGCACCAGCGCTCGGTTCCGAATCAGAGGAAGAAGAAGAAGAACTCTCTGTCTCAGCTTCGCCCTCGCCACCTCCAGCCAAGAAGAAGAAGAGCAAGGACAAGGCATCAGCACCCGCTCGTCCTCGTGACTCGACCTTCCTACCCACACTCATGGGTGGTTACATCTCAGGTTCTGAGTCCGCCTCCGACGTTGATGTTGCCCCAGCAAAGAAACGTCGCGGCCAACGAGCCCGCCAGGCAATTTGGGAGAAGAAATTCGGTAACAAGGCCAAGCACTTACAAAAGCCTGCTTGGGAAACACAACGCGGCCGTGATTCTGGATGGGATGGTAAGCGTGGTGCTGTAGAGCCAGGAGATGGCCCGCGAACGCCCTGGAAGAAGGGCATTCGCAATCCTCTTGCGGCCAGGCAAGGCGGTAGTGCCGGAGCGGAGAGCAAGCCTGAGGTGAAGAGGCCGCCTCCAAAGAAGGATGATGAAGGACCATTGCATCCCAGCTGGGCAGCGAGGAAGCAAGCAAAGGATGCAGAGAAGACAGCGGCATTTGCGGGATCCAAGATTACATTTGACTAGGCGTACTCTATATATAGCGATACCAGGAGTAATAAAAGTTTATTTCCTAAAGGATATTCTCTATGATGTTTCGGAGGTCGTTCTAGCATGCACATACACTGGTAAGCCACCCTCCATCGGAAGAGTCAAACTACTTTTGCTCACTCTCTCGCCTTCGAAAGCAGGTTTGAAGTCAAACAGAGGTACCAACCTCGCCAATGTCTGCACAGCAACCAATTGTGCCATCTTCTTCCCCAGGCATACTCGAGGTCCGCCATTGAAGACAGGAAACTCGGCTGCTGAACGCTGCATAACTGTCACATCACCAGATGGAGACGTAGTTAGCCATCGCTCTGGGCGAAACTCATCTGCATCAGGACCCCAAGTTGTGTGAGAGCGGCCCATTGCCCAAGCACACCATAACACGACAGCACCTTTTGGGAGGAATGTTCCATCGGGAAGGATCGTTTCTTGCTGAGCTTGTTTGATTTCGAAGGGGATGGGAGGTCGAAGGCGGAGGGTTTCGTAGAAGACTGCTAGGACGTAGGGGAGTCGTACCGGGGTAAGAAGTTCAGGGTCGTTCTCAGAGTCATCTTGGTCTCTGACTTCATCCCGTAGGTCTTGGATCGACTGGCATAGCTTGTTGGTCACTTCTGGGTGCTTCATGAGCAAATATAGTGTCCACGTAAGTGCCTGAGCAACGGTATCTCTCCCTGCCGAAAGATAATTCAGTGCAGCATCTGCTACAAGGTCGCCGTCGCCAATTGCATCCAATAAAGACTGAATGAGACTTCCTGGCGCATCGGACTGGGTCTTTCCCTCCGTTTCCTCGCGATCAGCCACTGCGCTCTTGACGATCCGCTGCCCATACGCCTTGACAGTTCTAATAGAACGTCGCATTCGAGTTCCAAAGAACATTTCTGTCACAAACCATAGTGGGTTCTGGAACCTTTCGGCTGTAGCTCCTGAAGCATGCTCAAAAGCAACAGTAAAATCATCGTCGGCGTGCATCTCCATGTTGTATGCCATTCGTCCCATGAGCTGCGTCGTCACTTCGTGGATCACGGCCTGTAAGTCCACTACGTCTCTCCCGGCTTCTTTGCCCTTGAGAACGTGAATGGCTTGTTCTAGGTACTCTGGTAATCGGTCACTCGTCAGAGTCTTCAAAGCAGCTGTGGAGAGAAATCGTAGACCAGCCTTGCGCTGCAGGCGCCAGAACTCGCCGTCCACATTGATGATGCCATGACCGAATAAGTCCCAAGATCGCTGTTTGAAGAATTCTCCCTTTTCAAAGATTCCCTCGTGGCGGAAGATGAACTCTAGGTTCTGGGGATTGTTGATAATGACACCAGGTGGGAGAGTAGGAACAGTGATATGCAGAGTTTCATAGCCATACAGACGCTCGCAGCGATGGAACCAGGAAAAGAGACGTTGGCGAGGCTGAAGGAATATGATACCATTCCCTACCAGTGGTAGTGAGTTTGGAGGTTTTCTGGTTGACTGTTAGTAAGGTACCTATATGTTATAAAGTGGCATGATGAGTGAGCATAGGGTATGTGAAGTTAGTGAATACCAACCTAAGAGGTTTGCCATTGCGCGTGGGCTTTGGTGATTTCTTTCCTAATAAATATAGAAATAAAAGGAGTGTTGCTGATAGAACAATAGGCTGTTCCAAGACGAAGCTGAGATAATCCATTGTCGTCTTGACTGTGACTATGGGTTGCAAGGTTGAAGTTGTCTCAGTCCACACGCGCTATCATGATGTAACCTTGAATCCACACATCAACCACAAACTATTATATTGAGCATAAATATCCACATGAGCACATCATACCTTGGTGATTTTTCTATCAAAGTTTTCCGTTGGTGTTGTAAATATTGACTTTTGGACGTATTCGCATATAGTGTAAGCAAAGAGGGCTGTGTTTTCACTCCCTCGTATTCGTCACGAGAAATGCGATGGACAACCACTCTAGTAACCTAACCAATATATTCAAGATATCCTAAGACTTTCAGTCGGAACGTGATTCTATCCGTCGGTCCAATTTACGTACACCTCAACCGAGGCATGACGTTTACCTAGAGAAGCATGAACCAACGAGGTTTCAGCGTTCGTTTCATGAACGAGATCATAGAAGTTATCACAGGCAATCACTACTAGTTACCACTTTTCCCCATCTTGAGAAACAGTCAACGCTTATAAATGTCGACGTATCCCAGAAAAGACAAGTGAGAACCTTGTTAAATTATCACTTGAACAGAAGAAGCAGCTCATATCATTCATTGACTTTTTATTCATCTCGGCATATCCTCAACGTCCCCCTCGCTTGGGTAACCCCTCCAAACCATATTTGAGACATTACTGTGACATCTACCTTGGCTACTACTGCATTTTGGTGTCACAGCTGCATAAACAAATTCCTCTTCCCACAACAACTTGTTCTGTCCTCTATTATTCTCTCCTCTCACCATCGTCATTACCATTTTTCGCATTCCCCCCCAATTATTTATCCAACCCCTGCATCTAAACCTGCAGCTCCCCTAGCCCTGGCATCAAGATAGCGTCATCGATTAAGCTCACGCGGCCGAACGAGATAACAGATATTGGCGATTGAACACGTCAACGACATTCTATTCCTCTGTAGCGACATCAATTGGATGTGCCTGATATCAATCTTCCATTCAAGCATACTAAACTAACCGCTGTATCGCTCAATCGCTTTTCTGCAGCTCATTTATCCCATTCCCCTCCACCTGACAAAGTGTTGGGGATATAAGCGCCAGCCACCTTTCCACGACAAATAGCTTCATCAGATCAGTCATGTCAGCTCCAAGCACATTTGGAGAGCTGGGTCTCTCCATCATCGGCATCAGCGCCGAGTACCCACCACATTCCCTAGATTATACTTGCCTCAACACTCTTAGTGACAGATTCTATCCCGATACACCTTCGTGAGTCCCACCACCACCAACATGCCTCCCTCAGTGGCTAATAGGTCATGATAGTATGCAAAAAGTCCTCGGAATCAACAGATATACCGGAATTGACACACGGTCGTCCATTGGAACACCCGACCACCCAGCTGTCAACAAGAAAGATGCGCCCTCAATAGCAGAGCTCCACACTCTGTTTCTCTCCGATGGTGTTCCTCTCGCGATTCGAGCCGCTCGAAAGGCCATTGACGAGGCCAAGATTGACACAAGATTCATTACCCACATAGTCGCCACAACATGTACAGACAGCGCAAACCCGGGTTTCGACCACTTTGTCGCAAAAGGTCTGGGCATAACGCATGGTGTAGAGAAGGTCTTGCTTCATGGTGTTGGTTGCAGCGGTGGACTAGCAACTCTCCGAACAGGCGCGAACCTAGCTCTTGGTCATAAAGCACGCGGTTTGCCCGCGCGCGTTCTGTGTGTAGCACTTGAGGTTAGTACCACTATGGTACGTAGTGAGCTAGATAGCATCAACGAGCTGCAGCAGACAAGAATAGGTGCATGCCTTTTTTCAGACTGTGGTAGTGCCGCTGTGTTGAGCAACGGTATCGGTGAACCTTCTGAACCGGTATATGACCTCCTCGGCTGGGACCACAGGACCATACCAGATACTGAGGATGACTTGGGGTTTGATGTTGACCCAGTCGGTAAGCTTCAATATCTCCATAGTGTTTTTTCAAGACCGAAACTGACAGAATGATAGGCTGGAAAGTTGTTCTCACACCTCGTGTTCCCAAGCTCACTGCTGCCTCAATTGGCCCAGCTTTCAACGACCTCAAGGCATCTCTGCCTCAACTCCCTCCAGACTACCAGAAAGCAGCCGACTTCGACTGGGCGATGCACCCTGGCGGCGCTACCATCCTTTCCGGCGCTGAGAGAGCCATGGATATTACACCGGAACACCAAAGGGCAAGTTACGACACATACATCAATCATGGCAACTCAAGTTCAGCTACCATCTTCAGTGTCATGGATCGCCTACGTTCGAAAGATATGGATGCCATGGCGCCTGACGGACGAGTTCGTGACTATGTCGTTGGTTGTGCTTTCGGTCCTGGTATCACAGTTGAGATGTGCATGTTGAAGCGGAATATGTCTCATGGCGCAGGCCTGCCTGGCCTACAAACTCCACCAGAGACACCGGCTGAAACGGAGACTGAGCCGAGTGAAATCGGGGACGGAGATGGTGAGTGGGGCCGTGAGTTGAGCGGAGATCCGGCCGAGTCGCCGGATCAGTATGCATTGTTTGTGGCCGACTCGTTGGAGCATCTAGATCTAGATTAGCATGGAGTTGTGGAACAAGGTTAATTATCATCCAGTTCGAGGGCGTTGGTTGACAGTAGTTAGAAGCAAGCAACAAAAGAGTAGAGGTAATGTGATTATGTACACTTGTACGTCTACCACAAAGCGTGTTCTAATACTGTGACCCCCAATTCGCTTTCGGTTACACATAGAATTATTAAGTGCGGATAGCTCGAACCATAATTACTATGCTACCACTCGTCACGACCTCGTTCCGAGCAGGCCATGAGGAATGTGGCGGTCTGAGGAGTACAACGGAAATTTTCTCCTATTGCGTTACCTGCAAGATCGTCTGCAAGCAAGTGTAGCTAGCAGAGACATTACACCAAGGTGGGAAGTTAACTTTGCCTCATCCGAATATAAAGAAAGCCGTTGCCAAGCCTCAGCCTTTGCCGAATACATTGCCGGTTTGAGAGAGCGGTCTGTTCTTGTTCCTGCATGATGGATGAATGTGAAGTGCGCCCTGTCAAAACAACCAACAGGTGGTGTGTTGATCAAATCAGGAATGAGGATCGGCGAACTCGTCAACATATCCATATATCCTCGTTACCCATTGTGTACTTGTTTGTTCAGTGACTGGACAGTCTCGACTGATGGATTATTACCCGGAGGAGCAATGTTGTCTGCTCATTGGCTTCAAATACGATGACGATAGCCCTGATACGCCTAACTGCAGAAGAAATTGGGCTTTCATCAACAAATTCGCTTGATGACTCTTAATGCTTGTCCCGCCCTGACTTTGACGCCAACCGCGGTAGTATAGACTGGGGTCAAGAAGCGTTAGTTGCATGTAAGGGGAAAAGAAAGAGGGGTCCTATCCTATAGGATGTAAAAAAGGCGTAAATGACAAATCAGACAGACGCATCAAAGGCTAATGAGAAGGTCCCTAGAATGGCTTTCTAATCAAAGATAATCACCAGCCAAAGACCTGACCCTGGTCACTCGAGTCGAGATGCCGGATTGAAGTTGGACTGATAAGATTTTTTCGACACATGAGCGCTCAAGTTCAGTTATCGAGCCACTCTGACGTAGCGAAGAGCGCCCAAGCTCATCGTCCTCGAGGCTGAGATATGGTTCAGCGAAGGGGCCTCATCTTCCTCAAAGTTCACGCTCTGCGTACCGAGGCTAGTGGAGCTCCTGGTAACAAGATATGTTCATGTACCGGTACTAGACAGGGGGTGTTTCTCCAGCATTTTGATCTGATCATATAAGAGCCTTGTCGCTTAGGTTAATCCTTTCCCGAAATCCGAGACTGACAAAAGCGCCGCCAGCTTTGACACTGAACGCTATGCCATGTGGTCGGTTAAAGATCAGCACATAGTTGAGGTGACATCCGCGAGAAACAGCCTCGAAGTGGATTAGCTGCCGCCAAGATGTCAACTCACGAGGATGAACAAGGAACTTGCCGCGCCAACTTACAGCGCTTGAGCAATGACGACTCATCAAGTGGATTCTGCCCCGTATTTTCTTTCAGCTTGGACTTACTAACAAAGTGGGCGAAACGATCCTCAACCTCGTGGCATCGACAAGGCTAAAGACTTCCGAGTCCTCATCTTTGAAACATGCTTCCATGCTGTATGCTGTAGGGATGGCTGGGGCCTCGGGAGACAAAAGCTTGACTAGGCAGGGTCATCCCACGAGTTCCAAGGCATTTTGACAGCCACCGGCTGACGAAACAATGGTGAGCCCAATCGGAAGGGATTCAAAGACGAGGGCGTCCCGAAACAGGAACTCGTCTCGATACTGTATGAAGCACCCTGTGGCTTGCAGGTTTGACGGAGGCCCCACCCACACTAGCATGGTAGTTAATGAAGTTTCCCGCAGATGGTCGATGAAGGTACACCTAATATCTACATGATACGAGCTCGATTTGCGGTCGTATGAGAGGTGAAGCACATATCGGGGGTTTAAGCTCTTGTGCACGGCGCGCAAGACGGGGGTTGCTGACCCGGCCGTGGGGAAGAGGCTTGAGCCCAAATTCGAGAACCGAAGCTTTATACTTGTGGCTGTCGATAGGTAGCTCCTAGACGCCATGAAAAAGAAACCTTCGTCCATAACCTGCAAGTTCTGACTCAAGATCGAGGATGGCCAAGAGGAATTGCTAATGTCTCTCCATCCTTAAACTTTTGTGATGCGTGTCATGGCCCAGAAGAGTATTCTGAGCGTAAGGCGTGGGACGTGTGCGATACCGGACTGTTCGGATCAGGGCCACGCTACATAGGCCTAGTTGACGTCTGGTCAGGGCCTTGTCAGGTAACTAGGTAGGGTGGGTTGTATGCCCCTTGAGTAACTTGACGGCGTGCAGGTGAGGAGTCTCCGCCAAGAGGGCATCAAAACTGTGACTATGAAGCTAGGCGTGCGGCGTGATAAGAGGACAATGTCCAAAGGAAGCTAGAGCGGTAGTCAATCTCCACAGGTAAGGCAGAGAGCAAGGGAGGTGAGCGCTGTGTAGAGTTCGCCGTTGAGTATTCAACAGCCGGTATAGTTGTTTAAGTTGAGCGAGGTCCCCATCAACGATCGTGTTAAAGAAGCATCGCATATCACGACGGAGGACGAATCGCCAACCGAGAGATCAAAAAGCTGTTATCGAAAGCCGAGTTCAACTTCCTCCGGCAGACCGGGAGTTTCGACAATTGTTCACACTCATTATCATATTGGGTTGTTATTGCGACCGCCAGCTTCCAACTGTATGGATACCAAGACGATATCAACATCGATATCCTCACAACCGACACTCGATTGTTATTGAGGAATCTGTAACGATTGACCAGCACAGGACTCTTAGAGCACCAACCTCATTGGAATTGTTGCCCAATCGAAATTACCAAGTGGACGGGACGCATTTGATTAGGTTTCGGCTCCGAGACTCTGGATCAGTCCATGCGGACCCGACAGTTCTAAGAGGGACGCTTTTGGTTGGATCCGGCTGGAATTCCCTTTCCCGGCATTGCTCTTTCTTGGCGTTGTGCGCACGGGAGAGCGTAACGGTTCAGTTTTCAGGTGATTACTGAAGAAAAGCAAGGCTGGAGGGCTATTACCACGTCTTCGGTGTGAGGGATGCCGAGGGGGAGATGGATATGGATGAAGGTGTTATTCAGCAGCAACAAGCGATTGAAGCCGATGATTTCCACGGCGGCAGGACCGTGCATTCCGCTCCTATCACTTCAGAATATGCGGGTCACGTGGGTATACCGCTAGGTCATCATCCTCATTCGCATCCTGGCAACCAGAGCATACCTGGGAGGAGCGATGGTAGCACCTGGCGTTGGCGCAGGCGCAGTTCTCAGCGCCCCGTTACTGCTACCGACCTAGTGGCCCCCGACCATGACCCAGCTGGAAGTCCAGTGATAATACCTTTTACGCATGCACAATTCGCGTCACCTCTAGCAGTTCGCGCTCACAATCACCCTCACATTCATCCTCAATCGCACCCAAACTCACCCTACACTCACCCTCACGTCCTTCATCATCAAATATTACCCACTCATCAATCGCTCTCTCACTCTCACCTTTCCGACGACTCTGCCACAGTCGATGGCCATTTTGGCACAATGGAGCAGATCGAGACACAAGCAAGCGACCTCAGATTCCTTGCCCAAGTTCCTGTATTGAATCCAACCTCGAGCCCGTCTCTCGGCCCCGGCTCCGGCGCCGGACGAGGTGGGACTCCAGCCCGTACCCCCGGGAGCGCCGTGGGAGCCTCTACGGGTGCTCCTATTGCTTACGAGAATCATGCCAGTCCAAGTTCCGCCTCTGTCGGCGACAATTCCGCTCACGGTGCGAGCGCGTCTAATGCCAATAAGAGGAAGTCGACAGATGATGGTCAAGGCAACGGAGCGAAGCAAACAAGAAGTAAAAGAAACAGAGTGAGTTCTGACCATCTCGTTACATCTACTATCAACCCCTGGACCATTATGATATGAGATCACATGAGACAAGGATGAGATGAGGTGAGGCATCTTTGAAGGACAGGACGCACTTCATGACGACCATAGAGGGGTTCGTTCAAGAGACGGCGACACAAGACTGCACGATACTCGCCTATCGAGCCCCTTCAAGTCCTCGGACGTCAAACATCTCGGCCTCCTTGTTGCACGACATAAACGAACCCAGACGGCTGGGTCGGCAATCCGAACCCACTCCTGTTTCAGCCGTTTTGATCCCACTCATTCACACGCCACTCCCCGGGTCACTATACTTGAAGATCATTCAGGCTAACGTTACATTCTTCACTATGATAGTACATATCGATAGCTTGGTCAGTATGCTTCCGCCATTGAATGCGTTCATCTTCGCCGCGACCGCGTAGCATAATACCGTATTGTCTTGGCTCCTAACAAACGCATATGCTAACAACATATAGTAATGAATGCAAGAGACGAAAGATAAAATGTAATGGCGAAACTCCTTGCCAACGATGTGGCAACCTCAACTTGGCCTGTCTATATGCCCCGAACTGCTGCTCTGGGAACTTTAAGGAATCGGACGAGTTCAAGCAGGTCACATCACAACTAGGCCGCCTTCAAGAAGAAGTCGGCTGGCTTCACCAAACCGTCAAGGCCCTTCAGTCCGAACCTGCCCGTTATTCCTCACTTGGTGACCGAACAATGACCCATGGCCACGGCACGCCAGCAGTCGCCCCTTCACCCTCTCATAGTTCTACTTCACTTAACCGCCAGGACAGTTCAAAATATGGTTCTTTCCGTGGCCCAACAAGCATGGCCTTCAGTCTCGACGTTGCCAACAATACTATCAACAACATGGGCTACAAAGGCATATCAGACGAGGAAAATCCACACCTCAACGATGGCATGGGCCCCATGTCCACGCGACCAAGAGATCCCCTCCACGAATTCGACAAGGACGAAATGATTCGCTTGTGTCGTCTGCATGAGGAAGAGATTGGTATCATGTACCCTGTGCTCAACATTCAAACCGTGATATCCCATGCCAAGAATATGGCCACATTTCTCGAAACCCTACGACAACAAAGCCCCAGAGAATTGGTCAACGACGATAAGACTCTACAGCTCAAAATCATCATGTGCTGTGCTCTAGTGGTGGAAGAGCATGGGCATAGTGATAAAGCAATTCGCTTGTTTGAGAGCATGGAAACGGTTCTTAACCGAAAGCTCATGGCCGAGGCTGCGGATGTCACGACCTTACCGATCTTGGCTCTAGTTGCTGGGTATAGATTTCTCTCCAACGATGAAGTTTTGGCTTGGAGAGTTATGGGTCACGTCGCACGGTTATGCCTGGAGCTTGGCATTCATCAAAGAACAGGCCTGATGCGAATCCAGGATGAAGAGGAACGTAAGAATGCTCTCGTCAGCTTCTGGTCGGCATATGTTCTGGATAGGCGATGGGCTTTTGCAACTGGGCTGCCTTTCGTCGTTCAAGACGAGGAAATCGATTCGGAGCTGCCATTCCCAGTTAGTACTTGATGAACCCACAATCCGTGTCTCAGCTAACGATTTTAAGGAGGAATATCCTTATCTGGTGGCCATGATCACCTATTCTCGGATAGGTGCAAAGGTGTGGCGACAAGTAGCTCATTTTGGACCGGTTCTGGCACGCGATTTGCGCTCAACGGAACTGGAAAACGTCGACCAGGAGTTGTTACAGTGGTATGAACAGATTCCCGAAGAGGTCAAGGTTCGTAACTGGGACAAGGAGAAGCATATAACGTCGACTCCCTCCTATAATCTGCAACGCCTACGGATCTGGACATATTTACGCCTGAATCAAGTAAGTGTTGTATTCAAGACTCAGTCGGTATAGGCTAACAGCATGCAGATGCGGATCTGGCTTTACACGCCTGTGTTGCATAGCGCCACAAGCATCATGGCGCATCCTGCGCAGTCAGAACGTGTAGTTGACATCGCCAAAGACACTATCCGATACCTTAGCCACCTGAATAACACAACCAACTTATACAGACGTGTACAGGTGTTCTACCACCAATTCCTCACATCTGCGATTGCGGTCGTCTTCCTCGCATCTGTTCATGCCCCGGTCCGCTTCAGCGCTTCCTGCCGTGAGGAGTTTTATATGGCCCTGGAGCTGGTAAAGGATTTATCCGCCAAGAGCTGGGCATCGCAGCGACTTTGGCGCACAATTCGATCACTCAAAGACGTGGCACCGCGATTCGGACTTAATGCTGAGGACGATCCCCAGTCAACAGCAGCGTTAGGGATGATAGGGCTTGCTCGAGGCCATATGGAACAACAACAACCGTTCCGCAAGCCCTCTATTCCTGGTCAGCAATCACAAGCTGCAACCCCAGACTCGATGGCTCAGAACGGATCACGAATTCAAGCCGAGATGTCACGAATGTTCGAGGGCTATGTAGGGTTGAATGGATTCCAATACAACGATAATGATGGACAACAGGGGCCGAATGCTGAAGTTTCTGAAGCGTCCAACAGCGGCATGTTTGGAGTTGATGGTACTGTCTTTCCTCAGTTCAAGGAGATGTATTAGCCAACCATGCTAAGTATTTTGTATATTGCTAGTATTTAGATATGATATCCCCTCCTGTACACTAACTTCCAGATAGTCTTGGATATATCTGGCGGCGTAATATGGCGCTCAAAATGGAGATACGAATTGAGTTGGTAATGTACCATTTGATAATGAAGAATTGATGTTCTGTGTTCAGGCACTTGAGTCGTTTTTCAGGCCGTTATGGTTGGAGGATACGCTAGAAGCATATCTGACATTTGTGCAAAAGCCTCGAGATAAATGAACAAAACTACTGCATACTACGGTATCATGAGAAGTTCGGGCTTAGCACATCGATGGTATAAACTCATCCTTGTCTTCGTTGTGGGTATGGTCAGCAAATCGGTAGCTTAGTAAGTCAGGATCTGTGAACCATGTCTTTTCATCTTGAAAATCTCAACGTTGTCTAGATTCCACTACTCTTCTTTATCATTGACCTCTGATAACTTGACAACTCCAGCATCGGATCATCATCATGCTGTTCACAGCAACGATCCCCTTCCTCATCCACGCTCTCATTGAAACCCCAGCTGCCTTGACCTTCATCCTGAAACCCTCCTCACAACTTCAACCGCTTCCTCCATCGGCAGCTCTGATTCTTCAGTCATTCGGTGGCCTTCTTCTCACAAGTAACCTCATTGCTCTCATCTTTATCCGGCGGCCGTTTGATGACGCAACTCGTCAAGCTGCGCTCGCCTTTTCCTTCTGGCATTTATGGCCTAGTTATCGAGCTTATATGCGAATGAATGGCTATACAGAGGAGGAGGAAGCTTCAACAACCAAGACATTAGGAGGACCACTGGTGCACCTAGGAGTTCACATTGTTTTGTTGACCATGTTTCTTTGTACCTGGTATTTTGGTAATGCTTAAGCAACAGTCTATGACATCTACAATTACAACTTTTTTCGTGTCCCCCTTTAGTTTCTAAACAGCCGGAGTCCTGCCTCCTCAACATCAACATCCATGTCATCCTCGCTCTCGTCTTCGTTAAGCTCCATCTTGCGGCCGAACAGCGTGCCGAAGAAGCGGTCAATAGCACCCTGCTCCCACGCACGTCGGTCCTCAGGCGCCATGAAGTTCTGCAGCTTCTCGTGAACTGTGAAACGCATCTTGCGGCCCTTGCTGGCCTTGCGGTCAACATTCTTTCGTGACTTGACGTCCTTGGCTGCTGTGAGAACGACCGTGGGGACGGCAGCTCCAGCTCCAGCTCCCGATGAGCCCTCCACTGTGCGCTGGTCCACAAGCTCCTTCAGGAGAACCTGGTAGAAGTCGGCGTCGTCGTAGATGTTGCTGTTCTCCGATGCACCCTTGGCAGCTTGCGCAGGGGCACATGAACGAGGGACGCGAGAGCGCTTGGCGAGACGGTTGTCGGGGTCAATGAGCTGCTCCTTAAGGGCACTGACAAGAGTCTTGTTTCGCGACTCGAGCCCCTTGGGTGCTGTGACATTAACGGACTGCACCTTGCGAGACCACTTCTCAAGGCGATCTTCCCTAGATTTAATAGATCGTTGTTCCTCCGCTTGTAATTGCTCCCAGATCACGCTTGTGGCCATAGACACATCTAATCCACGCTTGCGCTTCTCGCCAGCTCGAGATGGTCCAAAGTTATCCTTAAGGCTGCTGATAGTGTTGAGGAGCTTGATGGCTGCCTCCTCAGCAGCCTCGTAAGGCTCCGATTCGGGCTCGGGGTTGGCGTCGAGGGTATCGAAGGTGTTGGCAGCAATGAGGGCTTTCTGTAGGCGAATTCGAATGTTGAGGAGCCCATCATAGGCCTTGCGCTGCTGACGGATTGCCAAACCCTTGTCAACATCGGGTCGAGTTGATAGGGCTGCCATAATGGGTTTTGCGTTCTTAGCCTTCGCCTCTGATTCCTCGTCATCGCTTTCGCTATCATCATCGTCCTCATCCTCTTCTCCCGAGCCCTCCTCATCGTCATTCTCATCCGACTCATCGTCGGAGCCTTCCTCACCATCGACCAGAGCGTCAAGACCATCGTCCATGTCGTCCTCAACTGACTCGGATTCGTCGTCCTCATCTTCGCCAACGCCAGCGCCGCCGTCATCGGAAGACGACATGTAGTCAGCAGCGGTAGCTCGCTTGCTAACAGGCTTTTTAGGCTTGGAGCTTCCTCGGAAAGTAAACTCCTTGAAGCGCTCCTGGTCGCTTTCGCCAAGAGCGTCGTCGCTCTCGATTTCTGAGTCGTTGGCCTCAGCCTCGTCGCGTGCTAGATCTGCGGTCTCAGGATCGTCGAATTCCTCATCGCCCGACTCCTCGTCATCATCCTCGTCTTCCGACTCGCTCTCTTCTTCGAGCGCATCTCGCGAGACTCGAGAGCCTCGGTACTGGTGACCGAGTGACAGGCCCTCCTGTTTCCTCAATTTACTCTTTCCAACGGAAACATAGTGCTCAGTACCCGCGTTCTCGTCCTCGCTCTCTTCGCTACCGCTGCCATTCTCGCTAACTTCGACATTGGCCTCGGGATCGTAGTCTTTTGGAACGATTAGAAGCTAAAGGTCATATGATAGTGTAGCGACTTACCCTTGGCGATAGGCTCGTCCAAGTCTTGGAACTGCTTTGCGCGACCCTTTGCTTTGGCCATTTTAATGATTGAATTGTCAAGTCTTCCACTGACAAACAGACGCCCCCACGTTGGAAATTTTCTGAGGAATGGCCTTGAACTTTTAGGCGGTGGAAGATGGCAGAACTGTCGCAACTCAGTCTTAGTGGAGAGAGCCCTGTATTAGGTAGTCCGCTAGCTCAAGCTCCATGACACCTTATTTGGTCAGACTCGTGTATTCTTGACATCCTATGAGTAGACAATTCAATATGTTGCTTGTTTAGGCACTATAGACATTGAAAAAAACCCTATAACTCCGGATTGAGGAGCCCAAGCTTAGTACGCCGAGGCCCTGAGTTATATTCCATCTAAAGCCATAAATACTCTCAGTATGCGTCCAACATCTGCCCGCCTCTTTCAGAGCCTCCGGCCGCTGCAACATGAAAATCCATTAGTGGGTGATCTTCTTTGGTACTCGGTACTATCAAGTTAGAGCATAGCTGATACTATTCCAGGGTCTCCCTCGATCAGGAACGCCGCCAACCTGGGGTAAACGCCCAGTCCGTCGCAAAATCACAGGTGTCGAGAAAGTCATCGCAGTATCCTCAGCGAAAGGTGGTGTAGGCAAAAGCACAGTTGCAGGTATCTATAGATGTCTACTGAGACTTGAGATGTTCTAACAAAGGCGACTAGCAAATCTGTCTCTGGCTTTTGCTCGTCTTGGCTTTCGTGCTGGGATCCTGGACACTGATATCTTTGGTCCATCTATTCCAACCTTGTTTGACCTCTCAGGAGAACCGAGGTTATCAAATAGTCAGTCACTAGGGCTCATAGCGCCCTCTGAACATGAGCTGACAGGACAAAGATAACCAGCTCATCCCTCTTACAAACTATGGAGTCAAGACCATGTCCATGGGCTATCTGGTTGGCGAGAATGCACCAGTAGTCTGGCGAGGTCCCATGGTGATGAAGGCTATTCAGCAGCTTCTACATGAGGTAGAATGGGGTGGTCTTGATGTTCTTGTCCTAGACCTTCCTCCAGGTACAGGAGATACACAGTTGACTATCACACAGCAGGTCATTTTGGATGGTGCGTTTCTATGAGATGTCACGTCTGTTTCTACTAACAACCGCCAGGCTCTGTCATTGTCACAACTCCTCATACTCTTGCCACTAAAGATGCTGTCAAAGGTATCAACATGTTCAAAACAGTCAATGTCAATATCCTTGGCTTGGTACAGAACATGTCCTTGTTCACATGCCCTCATTGTCATGGAGAAACCAATATCTTTGGTTCCAATGCAAGGGTCGAGAAGTTATGTCAAGAGCACCAGATCGACTTTTTAGGTGATATCCCATTACACCCCAATATTGGAGACGATGGGGACAGAGGAAAACCCACAGTAGTGGCAGAACCTACGAGTGAGAGGGCAAATGCCTTTTTGAAGATAGCACAAGATATCTGTCCCAAGATCGATCTGAGTGGTAAATAGCCACCGAACTTCTACTCGGCCGCCATGTATCAACAATATAGAGTAACTTGTACAATAATGATTCCTGTCAGCCCAATTTAGTAAAACACTCAAAGCCAGGGGGAGAGGTGTTCTCTGCTCATGTAACATTATTTAATTAACACCGGCTAGTCTATGAACATAGACCACGTCGCTCCTATATACTTGAGTCTGAAGAAGAAGAACTGGATTAAACGCCAGAAAGATAAGTCGTTAGCCTCTGCTGTGATCAAATGCAAGGCATGTTACCAAACAAAGCAATAAGCTTCTGAGACTTCCCGAACGCCCCTGTGTGCTCTTGAGTATCGAACCGAGTGTCCTGCCAAGAGAGAAAGGTGATTAGTCTAGCTCATCGTTCATTTGATAGACATGACGGCTTCGAGTGGGGTCTTTTCGCATGGCTTGGCCAGAGCCTGTGAAGCCAACTGAGAACAAGTTAGTATCTGATTCATAAAATGAGCAACATAAGTGCATACCTCTACCATGAACGCCGTCTGGAGTACGGAACATGCTGTCCTTCTTTTGGTTCTTTCCAAACTTGGACTTTGCGCTGAATTCTTGCCACTTGTTCTTGTTTTTCTCAAGCTCCTTCTTGGCCTTGATCTTCTTAGCCTTGGGAGGCTTTACTTCACCATCTTGCTCGGATGCCTTCTTCGCTTCGGGATATACTGTCGCGCCCGCTGATGAAACCAGCCCAGGGGCTGGAGGTGTTGCTGGTGCTGAAGTTGTTGGCGTACCGTCCGCCTTTCGCTTGTTTGACACAGGTCGAATATCGCGAGACCGCAAGGTCTCAGTGTTATCGTAGGTCTTGAACTTGACAGTGTAGATAGGGTCTGTTGAGGATCCAGTGATAGATGTGATGCGCGCTGGGTAGAAAGCCTTGTCACCAGAAACCCACTTGGCTAGAATTGTATCGTTGACCTGGTAGTTTACAGGAGCCTGCTTCTCTTCCTCCACTGGAGCTGCTTTCTTAAAGGCTGGATGGTTCTCGCGAGACCATTTCTCGGGCTGAGGTGGCGGTGATGGTTCTTTGGGGGCGGGCTTGGGCGCCTGGGCAGGCTTGAGCTCAGCAATTTGTTCATTGAGAAGATCGATGAAGCTGTTCAACTCGTCCTTTAAAGCTTTGAGCTCTGCGTTATCGGGGTCATCGCGTAGCTGACCAAGAACGATATCGAACTAGAGGGAAACGGTCAGTATGAACGACATATCATGGATGAATGGATGGGGGTCGTACTTGTTCTTGGTACGTCTTCTTCTCTTGTTCGATTTCAGCGATAGACGACATGGTCTGGGATCTTCTTTTTGAGGTCGGAAGGGATGAATAATGCCAAAAATCGGGGTTCCTGGTAGGTACCTAAGTATTCGAAGCGGTGATGGGTTGGTTCGTGGGGTTCCTTGACGCACTGCACGAGATGAGATTGAAGATTCCAAGTTGGAGTTAAAGGTCACGTGCGTAGCATCTAGGGACAGCACCCCAGATTATCCCCGCCAAAAGCTTCTGGAAGCTGAGGGTGAATAAGAAAGGAAGGGTTTCCAATCTGACGAGCCATATTTCAGAGCATCCTAATAATTATATCTACAAACGGCAGATGGCCTCTTTCTAAGTCCTGGCTTATGTCTATGGGCTATCATATCTGGTGATGGGTTTTGCTTCTGCGAGTAGGTTGCGCGTCTTGGAAGAATAGGCCCAAGCAGCAAAGGAGACAGTAATTACGTTAGGTAAGGTAGCCAGTGTATGATTTTGGTTAGCAAGAATCAAATCATATGGATCGATTTCATCACTCTTTCGTCCCACGTATGATATCGTAACTATCACGATCGTTAAAGATTACCTTGCTGAATCACTCACGGTTATGCCGCCTAAAGTCGGCCCGGAAGAGAGCAAGGCAAAGGTCGGGCCAAGCTCCGTCTAGCAGTGTAGATTACCCAGTTCTCCGCGAGCCCCGAGCGGTTCGTAGCTAATGCAGTGTGTATTACAGGTGACGCATTCATGATTTAGTGGTGTTCAACTCAAACCATGTTTCTCTTTTTAGTTCATGTCCTGTTTCTGGGTTCGTTCATTTTTGTGACAAGATACGCAACGAACCAAAGGCTTCGTAATTGGTCTCGGTTTGCCAAAGAAGGATATTCCATGGGTTCCGATTGCGGCTCCGTGTCCGCCTGTGACCATCAATCTCATGGATCTCATTCTCATCTCAGTCGTGTTCTAAATAGAATGACTCTAATCTTCTGTTGGCTTACTTGCTTGCTTGGCATTTCGCACTATCACACCTCAACATGTTCACTCGCTAATCACTGCTGCTGCTACTGCTGCACGATCAAAGTAATTATTTCGTTCGTTCGCTCGCTAGCTCCAACTCATTTTATTGTTCGGCCGTGTTCAAACCAGACACTCTTAGACGGACACTTGTATGGATACCCACCTACGTTATACTTCAAAGCCAGAGTCAGAGTCAGAGCTAAAACTAAAACCTTTGTGGACAAATCCAATCTTGATGATTAGCAAGCCTTCTTTTTCGTTCCCCTCCTCTCCATCACAGCCTACTATACCTACCTAATACTAAAGATTCATTCATGCAACTCAAGTCAAGTTGACTGGTCTTAGCACTGCCAGCCTCTGTCTCGGCAACAGACTAGCTTCATCTCCGCCGCTCAATTTGTTGGTCTTGTTTGGCTCTTGATTGTTCGTTGCTTCTAGGGCCATGCCTGGTCTGTCTGGTCTGGAATTGCTCGCCTATACTAGTAACGAGACCAAGGCTTTACCTTACCTTACTCTTACTCGCCTACCGACCTTGCCCATACTCTTTTTTTTTACTAGACCTTCCCTTACGTCAAAAGTTGCTTCTGCTCAACGCCGGGCACTTTTCTTCTTTAATTTTCTCTCCCTTTCTTTGTCACCTTCTTCTCTCCAGACTCCAGACTCACACTGATCGCCGGCCCATCTCCGCTCCTCCACTACTCTCGGCCCTCACCGATTCTTCTCGCGGCCGATCCATTGACATTGACATCACTGAAAGGGAGCCCTACAAATCTGACTTAAAGGGAGCTCCATAATCGGCAACGGGAGACGGGACCACCACCATTCGCGATCCGCCGACGACTGCCTACCTACCTACCTACCTAATCTTTGATACGACACGGAGTCAATTAATCTCCTACAACCTTTCTTATTCTTTGGCACGTATTTATTTGCAATTGATGTTGCAGCGCCCATGATATTAAATACCCTTGTCATCAGTACAACCAAAAAGGGAATATAACATTCGTAGTCAGTCGCAAACACAACAAAGGAGAAAGCCGCGAAAAGTTGAAAATCTTTTACCGCTCGAGATCGGATACGACCAATTCGCCGTCGCATCACCCAGAACGAACTGCGCACAACCTTTATCTTGCTGTATTATACCTCCAATCCCTACCAACCATGCCTCACACCCGAGATGCGGACAGCGCATCGTCCTTGAGCGGCCAATCAAAACGACCTCCGCTCAACCATCAGGAGAGTGATTCGCAGAGCGAGAGCAGCGGTGTTAACCAACAACACCAACACCAGCAGCAGCATCGGAGACACCATCGTCATCACCAGCGACAGCACACTGTTGGTCACCTCCACCACGCCCGCGGCCCAGCATCAAAAGCTGCCCCAAAGCAGCCTAAGCTCAGCCGTCGCCATACCGATACCCCCGATCAGATCGAGCAGCAGCAGCAACACCGAATCTCCTCCGGTCCCAATTCTCACCGACGAGCTCTCAGCGACGCAAAACTCTCTTCTCGCGAGTCTTCGTCTGGCAACCTTGCCAAGAGCGCATCCCAGACGAAGCTTACCAAGAATTCCTCCCACACAAAGCTCAACAAGAGTTCTTCCCAGACAAAACTAGTCAAAAGTCCCTCGCATACGAGAATCGTCAAGAGTCCTTCGCACTCAAAACTTAAGCGCAATCGCTCGCATACAGAAGTCGGGAAGCGCACTCGGTCTGCAGAACTGAAGCGCGCTTCAAGTACAACTATTGTTTATCAGCCTCAAATCTCTCACGGCAAGTCGCAGGTCCATTTTGATTTGGGTAACGAGGAGGACGAATGGGTCGACGCGAGTGGCTCTAATTCCCCCTACCTCTCCCGCAAGGGCTCTCTCAACAGTAGTAACCACTCCGTGCACCACCCCGACGACCGCGCTGGCGGATCAAGACCGGTTACACCCAACGATCCCGCCGCCCCCAAGCCGGCCGAGCAACCGCAACACGAACCGGAGCAACGGAACTCAACGAGCCCCGAGTTGGAGACGATACATCACAAGGAGTATCTCACATCCCGCATATTACAGCGCACTCCGTCCCACGGAGCTCCGCCCCAAATGAGCGCAGACCTGGCACAGATCTCTCCTCGCCATTTTGCGCCAGCCTCTGCTGATGCCATAGGGTCAGGAACTCTTGCGGGAAGTAATCAGGATGAATTGACATCCCGGTTTGTCGAGGCTGTTGGTTCTGGATTGACTAGTGAGGGATCCTTCTACCGACCACCTCGGGGGGACTTTCGCCGATACGATGATGCGCCTCAAAAACCTCGTTCTGTGACCAGCTTGCAAGGCGACCGTGAGGAGCGCCGAGAACCCCCAACAAGCGCACCAAAAGACGACATTGATGATAGCGCACTAGCGCCTAAGGCGTCCCGACGGGCTGCGCCGCCTGCCGCTCAAACATCGCGAACACAGCAGAAGCTTAACCTGCAGCGAGCCAGTTCCGTGATTGAGCCCGGGCAAGCAGTTGGTGGTGTCGGAGGTGTAGTCGGTCATACCCCACTCATCGGTGTCGGTGGTCCCGGATATGACGGAGGTAACAGTCGAGATCCACGTGTAGGCAAGCTCTTGGAGCGTACAGGCATGGAGTATCTCGTTGTTCGAAGACATCTCAACCCTATTTCTCGTTCACTCGAGCGTCTCAACCATCTCCCCGGTATGGACAAATCATTGCGCATCCCACGTCCGGGCACCGCCTCTACAAACGGCAAACGTTCCACAGATCTCACTATGCGCCAACACACCCGCAACGTCAGCATGCCTGATCCTCGACGGCCGATGACGCCGAAACGCCCTACCTCAGTACGGACAACAAACTGTGCCTCGTCGAGCTACGACGGCAACGACGACGATGACAGGCTGACAGACCGGCTAAGCGGATCAAGCCTGGTTGGTGGTGAAGAGGAAGATGGTACCGCAGCCATACTGAGGAACTTATGGGACAAGTCTATGGAGTTGAGTGCCAGCACGGATTAGGAGTTCCTTTTCGTTTCTTCGTGATTCTAGGGATCAAGGCGTTATGGTGCATCTATGGTATAGGAAGTGCTCAATAGGCACCCAAAGATAGAAAGGCGTGAATCAAGACAGCGTCAATTTAGACGGTATTAAGCGAAGATGTAGAATCACGATATTGTTACGTGAAAGCGGTGGCTTGTGGTTAGAAAGGGGACCAGCCTATATAATAATTCAATGAATTCACGCACGTCTAAGAGTAGTTCTCTGTCAAGTCGCGTCTCTCATGTATTCCTCGCGTGTATATCATTCCAACCCGTACGCCTTGTGATGCTGTACTCCGTGAATTCTAGTTTAAACAAGATCTTTATAATTATACATTGGGGGAAAGTTGGTCATACTTGACACATCGTTCGACCTAGTTAAAATTAGCATCCCATGGCTTTAAAAGCTATTCGGCATCGGGCAACCTACGTCTTCAATGCTGGCTTGCATAAATCGTCTTGCTTCTAATCCCAGCCATACTACTAGCATGGAAAAGTCGCCATGCTTTGCCATACCTGCGCCGCTCTGTGCGCTGAGTTGACGGAGAATTGGCAGTGAGCTGCTGAGTAGATCGACATCAGGGTTCAGGCTGCGACCAATGCCCTCAAGAAGCAGAATACTAATAACGACGTTGACAAAATCTCCCTCGAGGCGGACATGATGGTTTCGAACCATGCTAAGCACCTCTTGCAGGATATCGCCAATCTTAACATTACCGAGAGCTAAGGTACGGCTCTTGACACCGAGAACCAGATGCTGCATCTTCAGGGCAAATACTTCTTTATCGAGCACAGCATCTGGTTGGCGGCAGCGCTCGCACATGAGATGACCGGCCTTGTAACCGTCAAACTCAGCAACGGCGCGGAAGAGGTCGAGGAAGTTCTCGCGGTTCACAGCATTAAGCTCAGTCACGAGTCCAGTGTCGATGAAAATGAGCTGAGGTCGGAAACCTTCAGCATCGATCTTAGCCAGCTCCGCTTCCCATGCCTTGGGGTCCTTGCGATGTCGATATGGTCGAAGTCGTTCAAGCACTTGCTCAGTCACGTCGTCCTTCTCATCGGGATGCGCCTTTGTCATGGTCTTTCGTAGACGCAACTCAGGATGAGCAGATTGATAGAACCGCACCATGATGTTACCAGGATGTAAATCAGCGTGGACAAAGTTATCAAGGAGCAACATGCGGAGGAAGGCGTCAAGACCTTCATCAGCAATATCATGCTGGAAGACACCGCCACCATTCTCCATAAAGTCTGCCAATGGGATACCCTGGGCATATTCTTCAATAAGGACATTTCGCGTTGTGTACTCAGTGTACGGGTATGGGAACCAGGCTGTAGATCGATCTTTGAAGTTCTTCCGGAAAGTGGCCAGATTTGCGGCCTCTATGCGAAGATCAAGCTGAAGCTTCATCATCTCCCCAAATTGAGCAACCTCATCAGGCAGTGAGAGCCACTCTATGGTAGGAATCAAGTTGAGTAGGGAAGCAAAGAAGCCCATGATGCGAAGGTCTCGTCGAACCGTCCTCTCGACGTATGGGTGCAGCACTTTGACTGCAACGTAGGACGATGGTACTCTCTGTGGAGAGCTCTTGAGCACCGTATCAACATTGCGCTTCACGTTTTGCGCCAAAGGATATGAGTCATGAAGATCAGCATCCTCTGGCTTAGCCAGACCAGGCTTCAGCTTGGCCTTGTAGACCTGAGCGATAGCGCCAACACCTAGAGGCTTCTCCTGGAATTCGTCAAAGATGTCTTCAAAGCGGCGGCCGCCAAAAGCAGCTTCCACAGTCACGCGCGTGGCATGGAGTGAGTGAGCCGGCGCATTCGAGTGAAGTTTAGACATGATCTCGCACATTTCGGTAGGGAAGATATCGGTTCTCGAAGCAGCCCATTGTCCGAGTTTGATAAAGGCTGGGCCAGCCAGTTCCATCTCGTTAACCAAGAAGCCATACCACCAGAGCGTACCTGATCGTTCATTGTCTCTATCGGGTTGTCGCTTTCCAAAGTATATGGCAGGAATTGTGATTATCACCGGAACAAAAATGACGACAAGCTGGAGAAAACGGAAACCAGTGCATACAGGCTCGATGATCAAGAGGTCGATCAAGTACTTGATGCGCTCTCCGAGCCTCGAAAGACCATGAGATTCGGCTGATACGCCCTTTTTCACCTCGGCCCGTGATACCTCGAGCATGCGCTTCTCGCCTGTCTCTTGATCATTGCCGTTTTCTTGTTGCGACAGCTCAACAAAAGCAGCCGTTCCTAGTGCCGCAGCACCACCGGACGCACGCAGAGCTATTCTTTTCGGTGCGCCTTTAGGCCATTGTGTGAATCGAGGGCCGCGGGAGCTTTGGGACGCGAACCGACGACCAAGACTGGCGATGGTGAACCTGGCGTGGGCGTTGACATTGGGGTATGTTCGGAAGCCCGGGTGGACGAAAAGCCGGCCTATGAAGGAGCCAGCTCTCATCTCGGAAGGGGGAGTGTCTTTCTAGGGAATTGTATTGACGCGGACACTCTCATGTTCGAGCAAAGCCTAGGGGCGATTGCATTCGGAGAATGGTCAGATTCGGAGGTTGATATGAAAAAGAGACGAGTCTGGCATGTGCAAGCGCGTTAATGATGCAAAGACTCGGATCGATTTACAAGGATGCCCGCCAATGGATCCCCTGGGAACGAGCTAGATCAACAATTGGTGTTGGTGACGTCGGGTTGATAACCAGAGTGACGTACAAAATTCGTATCCACTGTAATCTTTTCTAACGGAAATAAATCGGAAAGGAATCATGAGGAATATTTCAGCCATGACGGCTCATCAATGCTAACTGAGCCTAACCAGAAGATCAAGTACTAGGAGGTACCATAGATATTATGAGTTCAACACTCATGTCTCCGTCTAATTGTCACAGTTCTAGTCACAATGCTCATGATCTTGTCAATAGACTCCCTATGATTCGCTCAAACGCTGTAAATAGTTCTCGATTTCCACTGTAACCCACCTGGTCTTGGTGCGGTTTCCCCCGGTCTTCCCGCTCTGGGTTGGCCTTAAATTTTTGATGGGCGCATTACTTTAGTAGAGGTGACCAGAGGAAATTCTTGCTTCTATCCATCCAACTCTTTGTTCTTGTCATCATCACCAAACACAATTTTCGATTCTTTCAGCACTCAGGCCAACAACGCCGACTTGCTTCACCGAACGCTACAGTTCTAATATATAGTCATTCACAATGGGTTGGTTTTGGGCAGACACGCCTGTTCCTGCGGTTCCTGTCGGACACCCAGCTACTACCGACAAGGCTCCTCCAGTATGATCGCAATCCCATATATCTTCACCATATCGCTAACTCTCCCCAGCCTGGCTGCCCTATGCACCAAAAGTCTGCCGATGCCATGAACCCCGTGGCTAAGCCCAAGAAGCCTGTCGATCTTCCTTCCACCTCAGGGTGTCCCGTTCCTCACGCCGCCCGAACCCAAGAGCAGCCCAAATCTTTGATCTCCCAGCTCAACCCTCTCAACTACATGTTCCCCGATCTATCGCAAAAACCTGCTCCTAATCAATCATTCGCTCTCCCAACAACCCGAGATGAGTCTACCATCCCCAAGGGCACTGGAGATGGCAACTGGGAGTACCCGTCTCCTCAGCAGATGTACAACGCGCTGCTGCGCAAGGGATATACCGATACCGATATCACCGCCGTCGAGGGCATGGTTTCGGTACACAACTTCTTGAATGAGGGCGCATGGCAGGAGATTCTTGGTTGGGAACAACGATTTGCGCGGGGACTTTACAAGGGATGGCAGATCTGCAAGAGGGGCGAAGGTCACGTTCAGGAAGAGCTTGATCGCCAAAGGGACGGTGTTGACACCGAGCCTAGCCTCGTTCGCTTCCAGGGTCGACCCAAGGAGTTGACTCCCAAGGCCACCATGATGCAGGTTCTGGGCTGGATTTACCCCTCAAAGTTTGGGTAAGTATTCGTGATTCTAATGTGCAAACGATCTGCGGCTAACACACTTTAGTACCGAGCCTCCCTTTGACCGGCACGACTGGTACGTTGCGCGAGAGATCAACGGCCAAAGGAAGGAGATTCGATACATCATCGACTATTACTCTGGCGAGCCCGATGCCCACGGTGACCCTGTCTTCTTCCTCGATGTGCGTCCTGCCGCTACGCCCTTGGGTGCCGCCGAGCGTATCATTCGCTGGAGTACCGATACTTGGTGGAAGGCCATCGGCGGCGACAGGCACGAGCAGGATCCCCAGCCTTGGTTCCGTGGCACTTCCTAAAATGATTTCTTTGGCGCTTGGGTCATGATGGAAGCAGGTGTTTTCTGAAAAGGTTCTGGCGTAATGCATTCTCCTCTCTAATTGTTATGATTGATGTGTTTCTATAATGATGGCTGACTTGGAGTCGCTTGTACGAGCTCGAAAACGGAGGAAATCGGAGCAATTCTGTATTATATACCATTCATTGGAACTTAGTTCAAGTTCACAGCCAATTCGTTCACTTGGTCTAGAAGAGCCTGATCCTCTCCAGCTGCATTCTTGAGCACCTTTTCCAGCTGGTGGTCAACGGTCTGGCCAGGGATGTCAGACACAGCACCCTGTGCCTGTTGGATACGAGCCATCTGGAACTGCAAGAAGAACTTGGGAACCTTGATCGCAAGATTTCCACCAGTCGATCTGATACCAGCTTCGGTTGCGAGGTAAACATTGAGCTCATTCTGAAACGTATCGAGGTTGTTGTTGGCCAGGGGTGATGTGGTTGCAAATTTGTCAAGAGCGAAAGCCAGAGGACTTTGGCCTGATTCGGCAAAGTTGATGGAAGAAAAGGTCACACCGCCAGAGCTCACATCTGGGACACCATCGATGGTTGTTTTCGAATTGTCGCAGGTGATGACCGAGGCCAGATTCGTGGCCTGTGTCGAAACTTCATCGGGGAGAGCTTCGGAACCAGTCACAAAGCAAGGATTTTGTCTCTTAGGAAGATGAGGCGCTTATATATGTTAGTAGGTATATTCATTAAGGGCTGTGGGCGAGAAAGGATGCATACCTGCGAGGGCGCTTCCAGCCAGTGTGATGAGGATGGGAAGAATAGGGAAGTGCATTTTGTATGAGTGAGTGACCGAGGAATAGGAAGAGAGATAAAACAAGTATTATTATAAACAAGAATCCGCCAGGGATTTACGAATTGAAGAGAAACAAGTTGGAGAAGTGATGAGTTTGTTTAGAATCTGGTTGTTTAGATAGATAGGATCTACATGCCTTTTATACGTTGAGAGTATATGTGACTTCGTTAAGCATAAGCATAGAGTTGAATCGAGCATGATACCGAAACCTAGACCTGAAGATGCCTCCATGTCGAATATCTCGACTCAGTATAACCCCAAAAGACGAAGCTCGCTGTGACACACTGTTCGTCCCAGCAGCATAGGCCAAGGGTTTCAAGGATCCCTGGTCTGTCACAATAAGACCCGGGAACTATCAACCCCAAAGTCTAGAACTGCAACGATGATGTGTAGAGTTACATCAATTCAGATCCGGTTTCCTATTTCAGACTGTCTCCGATAGATGTGCATAATTTCATCTAGCAGATACTTCTTTGGCTCAAATATCTGCGACAAAGGAGTTGAGATGTGAGCGGCAAGTGAGACGTCATTTAGTCAGCTTGTCTACCAAGTTTCAGGCTTGTCCTCGTGAGACGAGACTCTTCTTGGTTAAATCTCAAACCTGGACCGTTTTTCTTTACCAATTTCCAAGAATTGTTTCTCATTTCCCGTGTTTGTTTGTTTTATCTAATTCTCTGAGCATCCATACTATACTCACTTACTATCAAGGCTTCCCGGATCAAAGTCGCTCCATTCGACCAATCAGAAGTTGCGAATCTTCCTCCAAGGGTCCTTGGAACTTTTTTCCCCCAAATTGGAATCGCAAAAGTAAAAGCTCGTCCCTTTACATTGAAAGCGACATACTCATTTCAACGACGCTTTTGGCGTCGCACAAACTCCTCACGACAGCGCCATTCGCTTCGAAATGTCTGCTGAAGCCACGTCTGCTTCAAGCGACTACATAAGGCTTCATATAAGCCCTCTCGATCCCGAGCTTCTCAAGATCGTTATTCCAGCTTCTGCAGCCCCCAAGGCGCGCAACATTTCATATCACACGCTCGAGACGTTTCCCGAACGACGCTACGGCTTTGTCGAACTACCAACCATGGAGGCTGACAAGATAAAAAAGAAGCTCAATGGCGCTGTGTTGAAGGGCAACAAAATACGGATCGAAAAGGCCAGACCAGAACAGAGAGTTGAACCTACCGGTGAAGCTGATCAGGAGGAAGAGGAGAAGTCCAGGAAGAAAAAGAAGAAGTCAAAGGAATCCAAAGAGGAATCGAGAAAACGAAAGCGTGATCCCGAGGTTGTCGGGGGCGTCGTTCTGACAGACCGCAAAGTCAAGAGAGGGTGGACAGAACCCGCCGATCAGAGAAGAAAGAAGAGCAAGCAGGACAAGGAAAAGGAAAAGGATGGCAAACACACCGAGAAGAAGAAGCGCCTAAAATCAAAGTATACAGACGGAGATGAGTGTCTGCTCAAGACCAAGGTTCCCCCTAATGTCATCTCCAATCTCCCTGAGGATGATCAACCCCGAAAGCGCAAGAAGAAGGGCAAGTCGCGCGAAGTTATTGTTCACGAATTCGAGAAGACCACAAAATTCCCGAGCTTCTTGAAGACCTCGGCGAACGGGGAAGAAGCCAACACAGCCACCGAATTTATTGAGGGTAAAGGCTGGGTCGATGCGAATGGCAATGTAGTCGAGACTGTCAAGGAGAAGAAGATTCCCGAACCTATACCCAGGAAGAAGAAAGTCAAGAAGGCGACACCTCCTCCTGTCGAGGAGTCAGATGACGATACCAGTAGCAGTGGTACTAGTAGTAGCGGCTCATCTGATGAGGAGAGTGAGGATGAGATGGAAGTTGATGCTCAAGTCGAAGAGAAGAAAGAACAGACAGACACAACCAAGGAAACTCCTCAGCCAGACGATGAGTCCTCCGACTCTGAAGCCGACTCGCCTGAACCACCCCAACAAGCAACACCCCTCTCAGCCATCAAAGCCGACGAAACAAGGCCCATGTCCTCAAGTTCTTCCCGCAGCCTCACCATCAAGATACCCCCTCCTGGAACACCCTCTACAAAAGTTCACCCCCTTGAGGCCCTCTTTAAGCGTAACAAACCCGACGAGGTCGCCACAGAGACTCCCGCCAAGAAGGAAGCCGAGCCCTTCAGCTTCTTTGGAGGTATTGACAACGACGATATCGAAGACGAGGAGGACCAGGACCCCGCAAACCTGACCATCGCAACTCCCGCGCCCATGACGCCCTTCTCTCGCCAGGATTTCGAATGGCGCAACGTTAGAAGTGCTGCGCCCACGCCCGACACCGCGCATCCCTCACGAATGCGCAACTTCTGGCCCGAGGATGAGGAAGACGGCGACGAAGATCTCGACATGGCAGAGCATGGCTTCGGCGAGGATGGAGACGAGAAAGATGTTTCTGCTCCGCAAAGCTCAAGCGACTTTCAGGCTTGGTTCTGGGATAACAGACGGGATCTCAACAGATCGTGGATGAAGCGTCGCAAGACTGCTGCCAAGGAGAAGCGACATAGAGAGAACAAAGCGAGGGCTAATAAGGCGGCATAGACTCATAGTATATGGATAATAGACATTAATTGCATGTGATGTGACACACTCATTGGTTTCTCATGATGCACTCAAGCATACTACTTCAACGTCCTTGTGCCAAACAAAACTTGAATGCCTTCTCAGAGTATCAGAGTACCATTAGGTTCGATTCTTCCTATGAAATGATTTATCTAGGTACGTATGTCTTGTCGCCCCCCTTGACTTCTCATTAGTTGCCGCTTATTTGGGTGAAATCTCGCGAGATGACAAATCATTCACACATTCGTGAGGTTGATTGTCTTCGGAGCATGTCCCCTCTCTGGGATGTGGAACGTTGAGCTTGCTCCCCGTCATGGCTTCGTATATCCCTTCATCATCGGGCTTGGGTGGTTCAGGAGTGAGTTCCCTGACAATGCTGTCCCTGGAGCGCAAGAAGCCGCCCGGCGATATATCATTCTCGGCTGTTCTGGTCGGAGCTCCTCCCGTCGGCTTCCGAAAATGATTCTTGTGAAAGAGCTTGTGGCCTCCTTGTTTGATTTTGTCCATCAGACTTTGCCGTGAACCATTTTGAGCATCGATTATCTCCTCCTCAATGCCAGCGACCTGGGTACTTCGACGTCGTCGCGTATCAGCGTCGAGTGAGGCACTTAGCTTTCTTTCCGCTGCAAGAGGAGTTGGTAGGTGTCTCCCCGCCGCCGTCAGTTTGGTTGGGTGCTCTCTGAATGGGTTCGCAGCGAACAAGGAGTTGTTATATGAGTATACATTTGAGGGCTCTGCAGAAGAACTTGATGCGGCCAACTCGTCGAGACCGCAGTGGGCATCGACGCCGTCTTGGTACAGCGTGGACGGAGTATGCTTTTTCGACTGGTCACTCTCAGTTTGCAAGGTGAGGTCAGTGGTGCAGCCACGGGAAAAGAGTCTGGGGAAAGACGTGATGACGGTTCCATCGCTGACTCTCAGCTGTTGCTTGAAACTCTTATTGCACATGATGTCGGCCAGTATCTCAGCTGTGCTTTTTGGGGTGGCATAATGTCGTAGAACAGACTCGTCTTTGGTCAGCCTCTGGTAGCTCTGTCGACGATCATCTGGGCACGAACGTGAGCCCCCATGTGTGGGTGAGCAGCAGTCCGAAACGGTTCGACAATGTGTTCGTGTACTCGAATCATAACTTGCTGGATATGCCCGAGACCACGTAATCTCAGCAATACTTCGACGTGTCACAACAGTTGTCGTTGCTTCCGAAGCCCCGCCGCGCGTTTTGGTATGAACTTGCATGTCAGTTGCGTTGATGTTTGTGTAAGATGTGCTAGGCAGATTAATGGTGGTCGCAGGGTCGATCGCCACTGGGGAGGGAACCAGAATAGCATTTGAGTTCTCGTCGAGTCGCGGTAACGGTCGACTTTCAGATGACCCTGTTGTCGTAGGTGTTCTCTTGGGCAATTCAATGTAACCATTCTTCAGTGTTTCGTCCAAGACGATACTGACGACATCTCGGATGTCCTTGTCACCAATAAGGTAAAGCCCCTTGGCCTCTGGGACTTGCTGGCCTTTGCCATTTATGACATGCAGATGCTCTCTTAAGTGCCTGATCTTTTGAAGGCGGTCACTCACTTTTCTAGCGATGCTTTGGGTAGCTTCTTCGCCGGCATACAATAGATCGCCTACTTCTGTCTCTGCTTCACTGGAAGCTGAACTCTCGGTATCAAGAATCACTGCAGGAACTTGGGATAGATCTAGCCTCCAGAGCGTTTCGTGGCTTCCATGCCTCAGTACGCCCTGGTCCTTGTCTGAAGCTTCGAGGTAATAGGCGCGCACCCCTGGCTCCCGTGCCGAGGATTTGAAAGACACCTTTTCAATTTTGAATCCATCATTTTCTTCGGTATCTTTATACATGTAGTATGCTGAGCCATTTGATCGTGGGTCGAAGATGTAATAGGCCCGGTGTTCCTCCTCAAAAGCTGCTTCGTGAGCATTGGTGTTGATGGAGTTAGTATCTAAGTCAGCTAGCCGTGGCGTATCACTGCCATGTGTAGCAACTTGAGATCCATCATTGGTGTTTTGCAGCCGATCATAGACCGCTCCAAGGTCGTTGAGTCTTACATCAGGTATAGATCGTAGGCGGCTTCGAGTCAGGGGTTGTGGTGCTTGGTCTGGGGCTGACGACTTGAACGAATTTATCTCCAAGGAGCGTCCAGTGGGCGTAGTCTCTCCTGAGCTGTTATATTGGTCCTCATTCGGGTCTCTCTTTAGTGCGTGAACCCTGTTGGTGATATTCTTGAGTCTCTGAATAGTCTCGTCTTGAAAATGGTCATTCGCGGAAACAAAATCGTTCGAGGGTTGAGATAATTGTGATGATCGTATGTTCTTGATCGTGAACACTCTTGAGGGCTTGGGGTAGTGTTTAGCGTCGTCATTCTTCTAAAACATCGCTTTTCCATCACCAGGACTCATAAGGGTCGAGTGAGGTGCATTGCTTGGGCCTGCTTCTGCTTCTTCCTTGTCGTGACAAGTTGTGCCATCAGTCTCAGTATCGCAGGTTCCGAGCTCATGAAGAGTCTTGCTTTTGGTGGAACTTTCATCGTCAGCGGCCGCAGAGAAAAGAACGACTTCAGGTTGAGTGTCAGAGGGAGTGAAGATTCTTGGCATCCGAGGGAGACATCGAGCGTCATTGTCATCGTATCCCTCCATTTTGCTGTAGTACGATTGCCGTCTAGAATATTTCAGACAAATCATGTGGAGAGTTAGTATACATGTAGGTGATGGAATAACTTGAAGCTGCTAGAGCATGAGATAGGGCGAGTAAAGAAGAATCATCCGGATGATGACTTTGAGGTGGTTGAAGAGGCTGAGAGTGGAACAAGAGAGTTCGACGAGCTCAGACTCTTTATTAGAAGAAGATGCGAAGCGGGGAACACTCTTTCCCTTTCCTGTTGGTCTCTTTCCATTTGGCATGAAGGAAGTTGATTGCCCTCAACATCTGACGCTACCTTACCTAAGCTACTAAGGGTGCCAGAATTAGCTGCTCTAAGTATCTACTGAAATATACTAAACTTACCTAAGTATTTTCGTCGCTTAAGATAGAGATCCTAAGCTTTCTTGTCTGCCCCTGTCACCCGGGTAGGTAGGTACCTTGGGAAAGAAGCAAGGGCTCGGCGTATTAAGATCTAGTTCTGATGCCAGTGTCGATCGCCGGTTAACCAAGAACACAATGAGATTCATCAATGATAGTAAATTTTTCCAAGTACGCTACTTGGTTTCTGGGCGTTTAAGCGCCACTCTATGCTTGAGGTCAACTCTCCCACATAAAATTCGACTCTATGCTCGAACGCTGATCGAATCTCCATCTCATCAATGGTGACTTTGCTGCTGCCTTTCCCTCCAATGCTCGTCCACCTCTTCGAGCTCGCAAATCTATCAATAGCTCTTCTTCTTCCTCTTCTGGATCCTGATTGGAATTTCCACCTTCCGATTCCTATGGTAATGGTGATCCCTTTCCTGGTGTCCAACTAGAGCCACCTCCAAATGCAGATCCAGGTGTCTGTGCCAGAATGTTGTTACTTCTGACAGGTGTTACCGGCCCTGTTGAGCCATCGACTGGCAAGGGGGGAGGCGTGTCCGTCCTTGGGATATGCTGGCCGTCCTTGCGAGGCGGTTTAAAGTTAACCTCTCGACCAGCTCGATAAATATCTTGCAGCATCGTCTCCAAGATTCCGGCATCCTGGAACTCGAGATACTTCTTATACAACTTGAGTGCTGTCCGTGAATCTTCGATCGAATCGTGGGTCTCCATTTGAATATCTTCCTTCAGGAGATACCACGCCAGAAAAGCCAGCGATAGCCTTCTTAACCGAGTTTGGAGGAAGAACAGGTCAATCGTGTCGATGACCTGCGACTTAGGAATGTGTATGTTGATAACTCGGAAGTCTTGTTTTAGTCCGTGACCAAGGAACTTACATCCGAGGTTAAGAAGAATCCACATCTTCTTGTATGCCATCTTCAATGACAGGAGACTATGTTTCGAAACTCTAGGATCCAAGTCTTGTTCAGTGATTCCCGAATACGATGTCAAATAGTCGACGATCGGTTCCTTGATGTCAATGTAATCATCGATGAAGGGTGTCCCTTCGTTTTCCCCCTGACCACGGACAACTGATGCACGAGCAAGTGCGTACACTATCGGCCGTATGGTTTCTCGCTCACCATCAGAATTCATTTCAATTTCAGGTTGTCGCACAGCAACAAACTCAGTGTCCAGTGCAATGATGGTATCAGGGCCAGGGGCTTCGGTTTCAGGGTTGAGCAATTGATAGGTCTTTGTTGATGGATCGGCGTTTGGACTGAAGAACGTTAGCAACATAAGGTTTACAGCGGGCTGGGGCATACTTGAAGTCTTGGTAAAGTATGGAAGTATCGATATTGTTCTTCCATTCAGTATCGATCTTGTTGTTCTCATCCTTTATCTGGTATGCGATTACAGAAGGGACCTTCCAAGATGTGTTGAAAGCGAGTGCCTCTTCCGTGCTGACCGACCTTACCAAGAAGTCATTGAAAAGATGCCATCGACTCTCTCCAGGTGCTTCTGATTCTGCATGTGCCACTATCCCTTTGGTCAGCGGTGGAGGGGCGATGAGGTGCAAGAGACTTACCATTGACCATCGAGACAAGGTGTGACTTTTGCGTTTGTCCACTCTCAATGTTGATGGCCATACCTGTCAACGAATACACTGTGATGTTGTGGATGCCCCTCTGGAGATGAAGTTTCAGGTCTTCGCCTTCGTAACAGAAAAACTGCCCTTGCTCTACTATGATTCCAATCTCCTCGGGAAGCCAGCCTGGTGTTGACCAAAGCATTCGTTGATCCTGGTTTGTGATGGCAGTGTTTAGCATGAGTACAGCCGGTATACTGTGAATGCTCTTTCTCGTCGCTATGGTCTGGTACCGCTGGCATCGACTACACCATCCTTTAGACGTCGTTTCTCTTTCAACACTATTTTTGAGAACTTGAGAAAAGCTGATGCGCGGTAACTTGGCATTTCGGCTGCCAGCCTTTTGACAGTGAATAAGCTTTTCCTCATACAGATTGAGCATCGAACTTACAGGGGATGGATAAAGCAGGTCATTGACATATGTTGATCCCGGTCGAGTATATTCGCTCCTACAGTTTATGCATCTGATTGAGGTCGTTGCAGAAGTGGCCAGTACCTAGACGATTCAGTATATATCATCTAATTTCAGTCAATCAACCAACCTGGTCCATGGCAGTCGATGATGGGTTGATAGTCCTATAATCATGCACGATTTTATCCAGGAGAAAGCGAGTGAGTCCTTGGAGCATAACGTTAAGGGATGATCCATGAGGATCCTCCTCGAGTAGACCAAGAGGACCGGCTGGGCCAGTTAGTAATGATTGAGATCAGCGTCACTCGACATACCTTGAGGATGACTGCTTAGGGTTTTCAGTAAATTCGTTGCTTGGCATATCGAGCCTTCAGCCTTTTGAAGCATATCAAACAAGAATCCAAGCTCGCACAGCAGGCATATCTCGCTCACGCAAGAGGTAGCAGCATGCTGAAGAGCAAGATTTCGAATGACAGGGGTGAAGTGCATGATTTGTAAAAGTGAATTAGCATATGAATTCGAGATATGAGTCTCGAGCCCAGAGTATCGCGTGTTGTTGTAAAAACTATTCCTGATTAGTGACCTTGCATTGCGAAAGTGGGAGAATACCAACCCAAAGTCAAAGTCGTCCACACCGAATTTGCTGTATTTGATCTCAACAGTTCTATACATGACTGGAACGTCAGACTTCTTGCTTTCAAGTCCCATATCAGTAAGAGAGCTGATCAGCTCGTCAGCCTTCTTATCAGAGGCAGCGGCGTTACTAGTAGCAAGCTCGCGAGCTTTTTCACTTAGGAATTTGGGGGCCTTGAGCCCAGAGCTTCCTGATTTGTTCACGTTTCGAGTGTTCTCAGCCTGATTTCTTCGCAAGCCCCGAGTATTACGACCGTACATCCCAAACTCAGTCGGTTTGAGCCCTGCCAGGAACTGTGGATCAAACTTAACAGGAGGTGCTCCAACATCGCAGGGAATGTCTGGCCAAGCGGATGCCAGAACATCTCGATAATGCGGCAATCCGATCATGTTCAGGGGCCTATAGTGATCAGTAAATGAACAAATGTTCAACTTGGTATCTCAACTTACGTATCTGGGCCCCAATCAATATTGGGTAGGGGCTCTTCAGGAGTTGCGAATTCGATCGGAGTTGGTAAGTCCACGAAATGGAGTTTTGTTGGGGATCCCCAGAGGTGGATAGAGCAATCAGCATCTGTGAGGGCAATTGCCTCACCGGAGGGTGCAATCTCAAACATGCTCAAGTAGGAAGTAACATTAGCCAACCGTACGTCGCTCGTGTTGGGATTCATTAAGTCAACAACATGCATTTGCCCACTTTGTGAGACAACGATGCTAGTCGTCAACATCCTTGGATGCATGCGCACGTAGGCAGCGCCAGCTGGGAAAGGGATGGGGGGCATCGATGACATCTTCTTTATATCGAAGACGTTGAGGAAGGGGTCAAGCATATAATTCTGGCCCTGTCTTAAGGAGTATCCGCAAGTAACGATGAAGTCATGCTGAGCGTCCATGTCATTGATCAAAGCAGAGTGTGCATTCCAAGACTTGACGACAGCAAAAGTGACAGGATCTAGTAAGTTGACGGAGCCGGTCTGAGTTGCGGCGCATATATAACGCCCGCGTCTCATTATCGTGTACTGATGTTCGGTAGGCACCTAGCGGAAGTTAGTATAGCTTTATTACCGAGAAAGCGATCCTGACTTGTTTGACAACATCACCCTTAATGAGGTCAATGACAAGCATCGTGTCTTGCATTCCTGCAGCGATAATCTCTGCTGTTCCCTTAGACGTGAAGCTCATACATCGTAGATCTTTCATATCATCATGTCTGACAAAGATCAGCATCAGTCGACCTCCTATGCAGTTGGATCATCCTACCTGATATGCCATATAGGCAGTCCTCTCCGAATAGCCATATGCACATCTTTGGCACCCAGGGAAACAATGCCTTTCTCATTAACGAGTATTTGACGAATCGGGCCATCAGAGGATGCATGGGCTTTGAAAGAGGTATATCGCTGCAGTTCGGTCCCATAGAAGGAAGTAACTCGACCCTTAAACACCAATCAGCGCCAGTTCAGCTTCGGCGTCTCACCCCTTCGACGTACGTATTCGTTACCTGTCCAAAGCAGTTCCTGAGAGTTATCGAAGGTCATAGTCGCAACCGGAGTGGGCATCGCGTGCACGCCCGGAGGCGGGAACGGAATCCGGGTGACCTGTAGAAGACCTGGATTAGCATAAGCTTGACACCTCATTCATGACTGGATATGATGCTTTTCAAGTTCATACAAGACAGGCACCCTTTCTTTCTATACTTGAAATACATGAAAAGTCTAAATTACGACAATGACATCGCGAAACATACCTCAGCCCAATCGCCGTCCATCGTGAAAGAATATGGGCATTATCTGTAGGCGCATAGCTTATATGAAGAGCGCGAGCCAGTGCGCCAGCCTCTGAGAGGACTGGGCAGAATCAAAGAAACGAAAATGGTAGTACAAAACACAAAAGTCAATAAAGCTTGCCGCTCAATATTCAGACATTGGATTCTTTGATAGAAGTAAATGCCGGTGACGGAAGTGGGATATCAGCTCCCAAGCTTGGAGGGGCAGCAAGCTCCCATTAGCCGGCGTTCATCCGGCGCGCGAAGTTGACGCGGTTGAACTCCAAGTTCGAGAAAGGTAGAGGGCTTCATATGTATCTTTCCGTCACAGGACATCATGCAAAGTCAACAATCCATCTTCTTAAGTTGAGAAGGTAGTGAATACCTGCATAGTTGCCTGTGGAGGTGCGATGCTTGTACGGTGCTGAGATGGCCATACGAACTGAGCAAGACCAACTCTCGTTCAACCCAGTTCGATATAGCTGCGAATTGAACAAGTTTCTCACGCCACGTCCCAAAACTCGATTACCTTGGGTAACTACAAAGAGTGCATTCACTTGCTTGACTTGGCAAATGGTCAGGTGTTTATATATTTCACTCGCAGACAAACCACGAACCATCTAGACTGACCAATGTTGCTGTTGAGAGCAATTGGTATTGTTCACGTATTAATCTATTCCTCCCATATGCAGTCTATCTTGCCCTCTATATCTTGAACATGTTCTATACCTATTCGCTAAACGCCGTAAAAATGGACTAGCATGAGTCAAGTGCCCAAGCATAAAAACGCGGCGCGTTGCCTAGCCGCTAAATATCGTTGTGTATCATTAATCAATAATCGTGCCTAATGATCTCCTAAGCAGACCAACCCCTTCACAGAGTGGTTTTGACTGCTGAGTAAGTCATTAACTAGAGTTTGTGGTTCCATATAATAAAGCCGTCAGCTTGTGTCACGAAATCATGACGCAAAAGCTGTCCTCGAGTCCTAGGAATCACGGGAGAGCATCCGTAGATCGAGAATCCTTGTAGCACAAAAGACGTTTCCGCAATAGGGGACTATCGAGTCCGGTCAGTGAGAGGTTGGGCGACCCCTTTCTCAACCAAGATAGGTTTGATCGGCGGCACCTTCGTGGTTCGCTTGTTGTAAATCGCCGAGTCTAAATAAGTGCAGACGAGCCAAAAAGTACACAATATTTGATGCCTCATTATTTCGTGGTCTTGGTCGTGGATCCGGCCGGGAATACTAAACGCGAAGGCGCTAGTATGAGTCGATATGCGGACCAACCCAAAGTAGAAAAGCTGCTTGGGAGAATGTCAGCTTCACGATAGGGTCGAAGTCGCCGGATAAGAGGAGAAATGAGGCGGGACCGGGGTCGTAATACGATCGCCGCTCATTCCGGTTAAGTTGTTATGATGCGAATCGCATTGGAGCAATTTCTCATGAAACTTGGTAGACGGTGAAATTGACGGGGAATGCGTGGTTGCTGAATCCAGGGACTTTGGAGACAGGTTCTCCAGTAGGTTCGACCTGTACCTGCCATCGCGTCTTGGTGAGGGCTCCAACTTCATCCCATAGACGCTGGAAACTCGCTTGGTCGTGTAGATAAGCTGATCGCGTGCTAGTCGAAGACGGCCCTGGATGGTTCGTGCCGACCTGGCGACCATATATCAACGCATTTTTGGTGCCGGGCTTAAGGAATTCGACAACGCGCTTGCCAATGAAAAGTTGTTGAACCCAGTTGAAGAGGTGGAAAAAGCTGCCGGCATGAACCATGGTGATCTTGCCGCGCAAAGAAGCCATTTCCTTGTCGGAAGGATCAAGCATATCGCCAGCAACAAATGTTGCGTGGAGTGAGTGTCTGTCCTGGAACAAATCGTAGCCAATATCGATGAACTTGGACTGTAGGTCGGTGCCAATGAGTTGAGCGCCGTCAACTCCATCTGCGCGAAACTGTCGAATTACTTGTCCAACCCCACATCCCAGATCAAGAAGGACATCTCTAGAGCCGGCGACGTTAAGGCGGAAGAGAGCTTGTTGGTAGCGAGGATCTTTGGGATCCGGGATGTATAGAAATTTCCATCGACCAACGCAAGGGTACTGTGAGATACACCAGGCCTTCTCTCGCTGAATGCAGAAGGTCATATCAGCTCGGGTGCTAGTGTTCGGGGACATGTACTTACGACACGGCGTATGTGGCCATCTAAATCGTTATAAGGAATCTTGCTGTAGACCTCAAGAAGATGTCGAGCTGGGCCGATGTCTTTAGGGGGGTCTTCAAGATAGGTCCAATCCCGCACCTTCATGACATCCATGCTTAGCAACATGTTGAAATGAGTGAAGTTGGTGTCAACAATTGTGCGACCCGACTTAAAAAGTGACAAGGTAGATCAGTTGCTGTGGGACGACGAAAAAGGTTTATTGTCTGCGTCATTGAAAGTATAATGCCGCTGTGTAAGCTTCAGTTGAAAGTGTGTTGTTGCTGAAGAATGAAAAGTGAAGTGGGAGAGAAAGAGAGAAGAACCCGAAACCCTACGGCAAGAGACAGGCAGCCGATGATGCCATTTCAAGGAAACAAGGGCGTTTCAACAAAAACAAAAAAAAAGGGAGAGACGGGATACTCGGAGATCAAGAATTGTCTGAGACAAGAGAAAAGAAAGTGAAAGCGAGCGAGCGAGTGGATGCTACAGTAGAGTAAGGTAAGGTAACGCGCGGGTTACGAAATAAACTTAGTAGGAAACCTTAGAAGCAAAGGAGGTAAGTCAAAGCAGGCCAGGGTAGGGACTTTTGCGGTTGTCATATCGCCGAATCAACTAACAAGCTTGCCTTGCATTTGCATGCATTGCTCATGAGACGAGCGAGCGACCGAGACAAGGTTCAAGGATAAAATCCATACATACTACGTAGTATGTACGTGTGCCTACCTCCAGTTGCCGTCCTAGGGAGCTAGGTTAGTAGGGTAATTAACTCAGGGATCCATAACATCAGCGCGGGTATAAGGAGAATTATTAGGGTCGTTTCAACAAATTTAATAAGCAGAGAGCAATGAGGGGACATGGCTTTGTCCAAGATCAAGCTAATCGAGAGAAAGCCCGAGTAAGAAAGACGAGATGCAGGGCTCTAGAACCTCCTTAACTCGCTTTAGCTACGGCCAATGATGCACAAGGGCCGCTCCTTGAGGTCAAGACTCGAGAGGTTCTGGAATCGTCAACGAAATTGGTCCATCCAATCCAATCAATCAGCCCAAGCATTAATCCCACGACTGCCGCTCCGGCTGCAACCACACTCTGTTTCCAGGGCTGTTATAGCGCTCCTTGGCCCACTAGGAGTTCCCGGAACTCCTCTAAATACCCACTCTCCTAATGGATCCCTGGGCTTGTTCGAAAAGTCTCCATGTTTTGAACGCCTCCGGCCTCTCACTCGGGACAACTCTTGTCACTGAGTCGAGATGTTTTGTGAAAATATCAATTGCTCGTGTAAGTGGATTTCGGAGACTTTATTCAGCTGCATCGAAGTGAAAGGCCGCGGTTCAACTTGTGGTTGCCTCAACCCCTTAGACCCCCAAAGTGCAAAGGCAAAAGTGCGGGCTGTTATTTACCAGTCACTTATCAATCATCGAGGCAACAAAAGCAAGCAGTTTCGTTCCATCACTTCGTCACCAACACGCCATTCATTATATAATTTTCTTCGATTGATGTTTTGTCTGTGACTTATCAGATAGCTTTTCTTGTCTCATTGGCTGCGTCTTGAGTAAAGACCAACAGAAGAAAACATATGGAAGCTCGTTTAACCAACCGCTGATGATCCTTGATTGTTCTTCACAATCAAGCGGGGACCTCATTCTATGGATGACAAGGGCATTGACTTACCCGCTAGCCTCCGCCGCGGAAAACAACGCCGAGAATGCGGCTGCCAGGGGTTATTGAGACAACGTCTCAAAAGTCTCAACGTCCCGTCCAGCCGTGGTGTCGACAGGGCCTGTAGCTAGCATCCTGATACACCAGAGGGCAGATCCGAAAGCTTAACAGCTTTGATTGTATCAGAGATGGCTTCCAATCCATGTGCCAGTATATGATATGGACGGGTAGCATTGCCTTGGTGAAGTAACCCTAATAGTTTGAGGTTTTTCAGGCACCTCTCCCCAGAGTCCCAGACCCAAGTTGGGGGAAATTCCGGCGCTTGTTCAGGTCAGTCTAGAAACCTTGATGAACATGATTACCAATTCCCTTGTACAGGTGGATTCTTGTCTGGGCAATGAACATTGAACAAGACGGCCTTTCAAATCCCAATATAAGTTCGTTGTGTGAGCCTTTTGAGATGACAACTGACTGCAATTCAATTTGCGCTCATCCAGGACTCTTCTTGTTAACTTAGAATCCTCATTCTCTCATTCCTAGTTGCCATCGATGACACTATCACATAGATCACTTATAGTCAATACTTTCATTCTGTCCGGTTACATCGAGTGTTAAGCCTAGCGTCGGAAACATTGAAAGACCGAGTCTTGTTAGGAAGCTCTGAGCACGAGATAGCATTAACGATGAATTGACAAAAATGTTACTGCAACCCAACTACCTCTTCACCAATGTAACTTATAGGTGACCTGTTGTAACCTCCACTCCCACCGCGTAACTAATCTTTAACTTAAGCTTTAAGCTCGAACTACAACACACCATCCCGCTGCTATTTCCATCTTCAATTCGTCCCTTAATGAAGATCTTGCGGCTACACAACATATGCGGAAACATTTCCAGGCGCGCTAACGAGAGATAGGCAGGTTGTTGTTCACCAGCCCCTGGTCTTCAGGTGCCAAGGACTCTCACGTCACAATGTGTCTTGGGTATTGGATCGCTTCAAGATTATATAGTTGTGCCTTCTGACTTGTCTCCGCATGTTGGCCTGCCTAGACAACTTCGAGTTTTAGGAAACCCCTCGGTAGAGACTAAGCTTGGAAGAGACTCGGTATAATACAAGTATCATTCTTCACTGTTCCCCATTAGGATGCATTTAGGGACATGGCACGGACTTTATTCCACCCCATTCAAGCTACTCAGTATTACAGCTTCCTTTAAACTCGATCGTGGCTTGTCATAAGTCCCTCAGTATACAAATAGTTTCAGGAACCCAAGGGTTCGTAAATCAATGTATCCCAGGAAAGTAATGAGCCGCTTCTACATGTTGTCTGTGAGGGGTGCATGTTCCTGACGGCGGTTCTTATGATTGAGTTACTGTTCAGAGCAGCAAGACTGTAACTGCGCGTATGCCTGTGTTGACCATCTAATTAATTGCCAATAGAATGATGGCTTGTATTGGGTTGATCTGTGAATATACACGAGCTGATAAATTAAAGCGGTCGAGAGAAACTTGACTGACATACACCGTGGAAACTTTAATTCGCCTTTATGCTCTATCAAGCTGACAGAATGATGATGACTGTTTCATTGATTACATAGTGGTTGTGGTTGTCAGTCCGAGATACTAAGCTCCAGGGTAGCTGACTAAGCGAGCACAAGTTCAGGCCGAGCATTTCCCGCCAGACTCCGAAAAATTCTTCCTTCTCCGTGATCTTGTCAAAAACACCCACACAAGGGCAGCCCATCCCCAAGTCATCGGGGCCGAGTTCTTCCTCTTCCGTCGAGGCGTCGCCGTCGTATCGCATTTATCCAGCTCCGAGATCCCAGAACAAGAGTCGTGTAAGTCGCCATGACCAAGATATAGCTTTCCTAATCAACAGCACGAACACAATCATGTCATCGCGTCTGCCTGCAAAATCACTTTCCGTGACATCCCTCGCTTGGTTCACGATCGTGTGCACTTGGTCAACATCGCGTCGAACTATTGCTAACAATGGCTTCGTCCAGTGATATCGTCGCGCGTCGCGCAGGGCTTAATTTGGTGGAACGCCGTCATATCGCGTCTCATTATTGGAACAATTGAAGCATTACGCCCATCAATACTCATCTCCGCATATTTGTGTGTTGATTGACGATCGTCCTCGCCCGTAAAATACCTCGAGTGCCAACCGACTGTACCATCTGCATGTCAAGCCAGCTGTAGCCATGAGTACAAAGCTAGAAAACGAGGCAGAGGATGCCAATATCTCATATCCTTCCCCCGGCGCCGAGGCGATGGAAGCTGGCCCTTTTTACAACACCAGTGGCCGAGACGTCCCTCAAGACCACCAAGAGCACGAGCATCATGAGCATCATGAGCCCCATCACGAGCCTCACCATGAACAGCCAGACCATCATGCGCCGGAACAAGTACAACATGTGCAAGTTCCAGAGCACAATCAGAATGACCTGCAACCTCCAGAACCGGAAACCCCTCAGCAGCACGTTCCTCGTCCTGCCAATCTAGAAGAACTTCAGCTGGCAGCCCAGTTGGGCCAGGGCCTAGCTGGAGCGCCCATGATGTCAACCACAGACCCCAACATGAACGTCGAAGACCCCAACCTGCGAAGCATCATGCCCCACCCCGACCCCGATCAGCAGCAGACACCGTCATATGTTCACGACACTCCGACGAGCGACCAAATGGTATCGCACGCCATGTCTGTTCCTGTTGGGCCACCCATGGGCCCCCAATACCCTATCGACAACAGCATCCCACCCAGAAAACGATCAAAGGTGTCAAGGGCATGCGACGAGTGTCGGAGGAAGAAAATTAAGTGTGACGCCCAGTCAGATACTGGGGACGCTCCCTGTTCTAGTTGTGCTAGGTCATCCATTAGATGCCTCTTCAGCCGCGTACCTCAGAAAAGAGGCCCAAGTAAAGGGTATGATTTGGTTACTTGCAGTTACGCACCGAAAGATAAAGACTGACAGCCTCGACAGATATATCAAAGAACTTGCAGATCGCATCCATAGCATCGAAAACAAGCTTGAGTCCGACGGAGGCCTGAGTCAAGACGACATTGACAGACTCTTTTCCACAGATCGACCTCGGCAAAGCCAAGGCGAGGACGCCGCTCGAAAACGACCCTTCTCCAGTATCTCGACAAACGATTTTGTTACACCCTCGCGACAAATGCCATGGGGCTCGGACCACAGGATGCAGGCCTCGCCAGGGACTTCTGAAGCATATTCAGCTTACAACAACAACAACTCGTTGGCACCCCAAGCTACACCCATTAGGCCAGACAGTACGCCCTCTAAACCTCCCGTGGCTGCCATGGACGTATCAATGCCCGATGCTCATGAGACCGTTGACATCGACGAAAGCATGCTACAGAGGTTAGTGATCCGTCGCCGAACCCCCTTCCTGCAACTAACATGTCGCTATTCAGTTATTTGTCAACTGTTGGCCCTGTGTATCCGATATTGCCAAGCACAAAGAGTCGAATGCAGGCGTTACTCTCGCAGTGCCCGACATCCGTCCAGAATGCATTTGCCAATGCTCTTCCCGCTGTCGTAGGATCCGGTGGTGACACAAAGCTAGCTAGCTTGCTACTTATGGAACGCGAGAGCGATGAAACCCATGCCACACAAGCCACCTATATTGTGCATGCCCAAACGCTATTGCTGCTTATTATCGATGCAGACTGGCGTTCATCACCAACTTTGCCGTACTTGCTTTCTCGTGCGGTTGGATTGGCCAATTCGATTAACCTATGGCGATACACTCCCGTCGAGTTGGTTTTGGAGTCTGATTCAGACTCAGATGACCAGCTATCAGTGCGGATATGGTGGTCATTGATCCTGATGGACCGTTGGCATGCTGTCGGCAAAGGAAAACCACCAATGATACCGGACAATAGTACAGTCGCTCCTCCTGGCCTGGAGAAGATCCTGGGAGATGTGTGCTTTTACCTTGCTCGTAAGTGATAATTAGTTCATTCTAGGTAATTTTTGATCGCTGACCGGGATTCTAGGACTTTCGAAGCTGCTCAACTGTCTGTGGCAAGCTATCTTCACATTGCAGCTGGGAATGTCCACAACTGAGGAGATAGTGGCACGCATACTCGCAGATTATGTTGAGAACTACCGAGAAGATCTTCCGGCGCATATCTTGGCTACGTCGCATCCCGTGGTGCATCTAGCATACTGGCACTGTAAGCTCATGGTTGTGCTTTTGACACCAGGCGCCACGCCGACCGAAACGTTATGGCCTACCAAAGAAGTGATCAACCTTCTCTTCGCAAACGAGCACCTACGCAGTCCACTCGTCAATCACTTTGTGTCTCTTATCACGATGTCTCTGGCGAAGCTTGTTAAGATCGACAAGTCGCGAGAAGAAGCCACACAGTTGATCAAGGACATTGTGGAAAAGCCCAACGAAATGTGGAATGGTGTTCGCGACAAACTTTCGGAATTCTTGCGTCCAACATCATCAGTGGAAGCGGCAGCAAGCCAAGGCCTTCAACACCTGGCAGATCTTGCCACAGCACATGAGGGTATCGCACCGGGAGGTGATGATATCTCATTTGGGCCATCGTTGGCATCGGGATATTTGGATATGGCATAGGGCATCATTGAAAAAACACAACAAGACCTGTACACACACGTGTGAAGAGGCGATGACCATTGTTAGGCGATGGGACTTGTATGAATATTATTCCCCTTTTTGGTATTTGTTAAACTGGGGTAACGGAAAATGCGGAACGATGACGGTAGATGATAGTGCCAAGCTTGTGCCATGAACGATGGCGTTTGGTTTTGTTGAGATACTATTTTGATAGTTATCAACTTTGATATTCGTAATCCCATAACTGTCCTATTACAAAGCTGCACAGCCGAAGTTCTACTCTGCGTGCAGTAACGGTTCCAAAACAGAGTTTTTCCCACGCTGTCATAACCTTGTCTGGTCAATCATAGCTCGAGCTGTTACATAGCGTCGAGGGAGACAAAGTCAAAATCTTGCATATTCTAGCCGTACCTGATCGACACTGTCTCTTCCCTCTCCGAGTACCGGACTAAGCTAAAAAAAATCCGACGGTTCGGGAAACGAGTAATGGGAGAATTGAGTTTACGTAAATGGGTCTTTATCAAATTAGAGGCTTCTCCCACTCGACTACCGGTAGACTAGTCGTTAGTTAGGGTTAATAGGACTTGGTTGTGAAGCTGTCGGTCAGTACTCCTTAGTTGAAGACGAAGGTTTCTACTGTTTGGTTAGTCAGTTAGTAACAAGGTACGTGGAGACTATGGCTCCGCTTAGCTTAACTGTGCAAACGACAAAGAGGCTGGACTGAAATCCTTGAGGCTATGCTTTGCTTGCTAAGTTGTTAGTTACTTGGCTTGTGTGGTTGGCTGTCGTGGCCGAGACATGCGACACATGTTTTGTGTACCATAGCTGACTGCCATTTTCAGAAGCAGTATAGAAACCTTCTTTGCTTGATATGAAGTACGTACATGCGCTGTACGCCCCTCCAAATGCAACTTGGACTGCAGGCCAGGAAGAAAAAGACCAGGCCAGGCCCTGCATCACTGAGCTGATGCTTCTGTGCCGGCCCGGACCCGGTATGGATCGTTAGATGCATGTACAACACAGAAGCAGAGCACGTAAAAAGCAGAGTGCATTTGTCTGTTTTGTTTGTATGCATCTCCGAGCTCGAGAAAGGCAAGTAGCGTGCATGTAGATGTGCTAAAGAATCTTTCATGTGTGTGGGGTCTTTGGTGACATCTTTCATGACAGTTTCCAGCCTCTGGACCATTTTCATGGGGACCTCGGATGATCGACATTGTCTGGAAACAATCAGGAACATCAGCAGAGCTTGTACGTAAAGCAAGACACATCGAATGCAGATGGATGATGATGTCCTGGCCCAAGTGCCACGTCTTCCTTTATCCCTGTTGACCCCGGCTTGGGGATCCCTGGAATCATGGGGAGGAAAAGAAATGACGGGGAAATAGAGTGCCCATCTGTGGCGGCGCGGGCGCGGGCCTATAGGACACCAACAATATGAAAGAAACGCTGGCTGTTTCTGAAATCAGGCCTAGAGACCTGCCATTGTTGTTGGTCGAGCACCGCTCGCATTGGACCCCTAGACAGCAGAAGGCATCCTTTTGGATATCCCATGCACCACGCAACTTGGCTGGTCGAACCACTTCGTCTCCGGGCGTCCGACGACGGGCTGCAATGGGATCCGTGTGATGTTATCTTGAAGCAATGACAAGTGATACCGCCGACGTTCGAAGCAAGCTGATGTTAGTGATCCTCAATCCAAGTCGACACAATCACCCAACGGATGTAAATATGTATGATGGAACGGTATTTGGTGGTGTTGGCTCATGGACCTCGACTCGGTTGGTCTTGGTCCTCAGTCATAAAAGTCTATTGCGTTAAATCAAGTCTTGCTGAATACTCTTCGTCGTACCCAGTTTGAGGCCAGAAGCAGAAACATCGAACCAGAAATAACAAAGAACGATGATGAACAATTGAGTCAACAGACGCAATAACTGCTTGACAGACGAGTCTAGAATATGCAATCTCCTTCCTCCTTGCATCACTCAGCTTGTAAATTCCCCGTGCAGATAAAATCGAGCGCAACTCGACGGACCACAAGTGCAACTTGGTCTTCTTCTCTCGGCCTGACTGCCATAGTCCGTCTGCCATTGCTTTCAAACTGGATTTGTCTGTCTTGATCACATTTCTTTTCGCGAGCTAAATCATCCAAACAAATTGCGCTGCTCGTCTCTTCTTTGTCCTTGCTCTGCTTCTTGTATAATTCAGAAAGCCATCTGCGCCTGCTCTATCCTTTCCATTCCTCCCAGCCGATAGTAGGAAAACTCATGCTCGTCAATACTCCCAAACTGTCTACTTCATGGATGAGAATGTTGTCTGTCGTAATCATCACCGCAAGAAACCCAAGCATCATGCAGATGCGATTGGTTTGCGGGTGGTTGTGAGCGTAGATTCGCTCTGTATAAAACGTATATGTGTTGGCGCTCTTCACGCGAAATGAGTAAAAGAAGCCATGCCTCTCATGGCCTCAACTCCTATGGTATTTTTCAACGCCTGCCGGTGCGTCACCCTAAAGACTTGAAATAAAAAAAACCGAATGGGTATTGTGTACGCCAAAATATTCGAAACCTCGATAATTTCTCACATACCCCAGAAGCTAGGCACTGAAGCAGGGCCGAGAGGGTCGGGGCTTTCGTCCATTGTAGTGATGCCCTCGTTATAATTGGGCATCCAGAAAGCAGGGTCGTCCTCAACCATGGATAGACCCGCCCCCGCCATAGGGCCACTGTCTGTTCCCTTGTAGAAGCTGTCGTAGTCGATGGTAGTGAGGTCGGTCGAGTTGGCCATCACGTTACCGTTCTGTCGGATGAAGCTATCGGCACGGCTGAATCCTTCCAGGCCGTCATAGTCGCCGTCTCCTCCAGGAAGAAAATCTTCCACTTCGGAAACCTCGCCCGAGGTCGATGTAGTGTTGGCCAGGTGAGGAAGATGCTCTGAACCGCTACCGAAGTCGAAGAGACCATTGAAGCTCTGAGTACCGGCCTGGCTATAACTGGAAGGCGTGAAACTCTCACCCTTCATCTCTGAAAGATCATAGTGGCTCCAGTCGACTGAAGCAGCACTGAGGCCAGCGCTGTACATGGGCGCATCTGTCTCTGAATTGAAACCAGATCCAAACAGGTCAAACGTACTGTTAGCCATATAAGGAGGGTACTCAATGCCTGAAAGGTCCAGAGGAGGCAGGTTGCCATTGAGGTTCTGGAAGCTGCTCGCACCGCTCATCAGGGGCGATGCGGTTTCTGATTTGACCCTACGCTCTCGGTTGGTAGCAGCGCGTGCTCGGCTACTGGGAGGTTCCCGTGTGCTCTTCTGCAGCATGCTGTCGGCGCCCAAGCTGCCAGTGCTGTGAGCCGAGTTCACCCTGTTAAGCTGATATGGGCCACATTTTTGCGAGACCCGGTTGCTTCGGTGAGCAGGCTTGTGGTTGCCGTGCTGATCGAAGGTCAGGACACCGTCTGAGTGGACCGTGTTGGCTCGTCGTCGTCGACCCGGAGGCTTCGGACGACCACTAATGCTCAGGGTCAAAGACTCGCGCTCCGAGTCAGATTCAGGAACGGTGTCAAGAGCAGGCTCGTTCTTGTGGGAGCAGCTGCAATGGCCACCATGGTTACAGCAACATGTCTCTGCGAAGGTTTTAGAAAATGCGAATTGTGTCGAGCGTCTCGAGGTGTGTAACACCTCGAGAAACCAGAGGAAGCTCACCAGTGTGACCCTCAACGGCTGGCTGCAAGTGGGCACATTTACTTGTCTTCTCGCCGCAGTCGCACTTGACGTGAGCAGAGCGCGACTTGCGCATGGCGCGACAGTGAGCGCATTGGGAAACTGGTCGACCCTTCTTGTTGATATGCTGAAGTGGGCGGTCTATCGAAGGATTGTGGTCAGTAACAGGGAACAGAGCTAAGCTTGGAGACATGTCCATGGACGAGTACTGGAAGTGCATCCAGCCAGGTGTTATGACTGGGACCGACAATCCATAACATGCTTCAGTCTTGAGTCTCGACTTACCAGAATGTTGGCAATTGCTCACGCGGTGGCCGCGGACGCAAGCCTCGCAAGCATACTTTTCTCCATCAATTATCATTTTGGCGGGTGCAGACTGGCTCAAGGTGCAGTCGGCTCGAGGTTAAACGGCGAACTAGGGAATTGTGAAAGCAGTCGTTTCTTGACGAAAGCCAGATATGTAGGATCCAAGGTGACCAAGTTCGAGTCGAGTATGCTCGGTCCGGTCTAGGTGGAGGGAGGATATGGTGGGTTTCTATCGACACCGATGTCCAAGGCTTGTGTATAAGTGTCCCGCAAAAGCGCTCCCGCGCTAATAGAGGAAGTGGATTGAGGTTGGGGAAACTGGGTCGAGAAAGCTTTGTTAAACCGGACAGTTGAGTTTCAGTAACATATCGCGGCGGAGCTTAGGCAGAGCTGGAAGAGGCTGAAAAATAAATCCGGACAAGGAACGTGGGAGCAGAAGACTATAATAAAAGTTTTCGAGGGCAAGTTGAACAAAACCAATTGATGAGAGAGAGGAACGGAGTGGAGATACACCGGCCGGTGGGTGGGTAATTTTCCCTTGGGGTGTCTTGGGGTCTTCTCTGGAACTGTATGGTACAGTAGGTTCCTAGACCTAGCTTGTGGCCGGGTTGGATCGCTCGCTACTGTAACCCGGCCCTGGGGGTGCGATGCAGAGTGTAGTGGTGGGTGTAGAGGGTAGTAGAGAGGGAGTGCGCCGCAGGAATACCTGAAATGGATGGGCGGACGAGGTCGGCGGCAGGACCGGGGTTTCTTCTGGTGCACACTGCAGACTGCACAGCACAAGCGGGTTTGGCGCCTTCAGCTACAGAGCCAGAGCCAGCTAAGACAACGACATCGACGACCAAGGTCAAGCCAAGCCGCCCTGCTGGAGACGTTGTGGGTGGAGATGTCGGCCCGGATGGTCGGAGCGTTCTCGTTCTGCGTTGTTCGTTGCTCGTCGGACCTGGTACTGTAGCTTTGGTGACGTCGGCGGCCGACACCAACTGGTGAACGGAGAGCAGAGAACGGAGAACACACCGCACAACTAAGCGTGCTCCCTGAGGAACACACTGAAAGACGCTGTGCAAATGCAAAGTTGGGAAACAGAGGAAAGAAGCAAAAGTGAAAGACACGGGAGAGATCCGAGGAAGAGGGGCCTCTTTTATGACAGACATTGCATAGAACAGGAGATAATGACGAACTGCAGCGCAAAACCCCCAGAGCTCAGAGTCCAAAGGCCAGAGCCCAAAGCAGCAGCGTTGAGGCGTGGTGGGCAGCATAACATCCATTACAATGTGATGTGTCTGTGAATAGCAACATGGCAGGCCAGCCGTGACCCTTGGTCCCTTGGCCCATCATGATCCCTTGATCATCAAGTTGCCCTGTACCGAATCGATTCCCGCACAAGTCAAATCGAATTCTTGCTTTCTCGCTGGTTAATTCCGCCAGCGTGCCCGCTCAAACTGGACATTTTTTTGGCCTACAGCCCCTAGGGTCCATGTTCTCAATATCCTTGCCTTGCCTCGAATAGCAAGGCGAGGCGTGGAGGTCGCGGACACGGGCGCGATCGAGGATACTCGGCTGTACAGTGTGGGACGATGGCGCAAGCAACAAGGTGACCGGGCTGGGGCACCGGGGTGGAAAGCATGGGCTGGGATGGGGGACAAGGGTTCTGGAGCGACCATGACGAGCTTGAGAGCACAGAGAAGACATCGTCAGTGGTCATCCTCCGTTGTGGTCCGTGGCATGGCATGGGCCATTGCTGAAGACGTGGGATTGAGACCGAGTTCGGGATAGCGTCCTCTAGTTGTTTCTCGAGGGAAGGGTTCAGCCATAAACGAGCCTGTGATGTAGACTCGCTGAGCATACGTTTGTGTGTGTGATTGGGGGCAACGGGAGAAATGTTACCGAGCATACTGCCGTTGCGTTTGCGTTGCTTCTAGATCGACATTTCTCAGCCGTGTTTATTAAGGACGAGATTTGATACGCTCGCATAGGCTCTCAAACTTATTAGCCATTTGGTTGTCATCATGAATGAATTAACTGTCGAGTGAGAGCTTGGGGGATTTGTGGAGCTCATGGCCCGTGGGATGGTGATTTGTCCATGAATGTTATAGCGGATGGATCACGATTGAATGGGGGAAGTAGTGCAAGATTGGTGCGAGACAGATTACAGTGGAGAGATGCGGAGTGTACAAAGTGAGAAGGAGCAAGAGCAGGAGCAGGAGCAGGAGAAGGGGAAAGGGAAAGAGGAGCCGCATGCATTGGCATTAGACATGGATTCGTAGTTCACATGCGTCCTCAGAAAGATAATGTAATTACAATGCGATTCCTGCATCACCTTCCTGTTTGTTGGCAATTCAGAGCAGAGCAGAGCAATTCAGCATCGGGAACAAGGTAAATGGACGATGGGAAGGGGTTGCTGTTTTCGGGATTGCCTACCGTAAAAGAGTGTCTGCGGGTAAATTAGGTTGACTGGCATAACGGGACGGAGGGACGATCAGAATATATCCATGCTTAATTTTATGGGAGAATCCGGACTCAGCAGAGATGCTAACTGGCTTGAACTGACATCCTAATCCCAGTGTTCAGGGTTAAAACAGCCACAGTTTCTGGTCTTGCACCTAATCCTTCGTGTTGCAGCCGCTCCGCGTCTCGAGTCAAGAAGAGAATAGTGCAACAGAGACAGGACCACCGGGCGATACGTACTGTACATACAGATGATATTATTAGGGATGACAATCGACAGTATGAAATTCAACACGACAGTAACATTATCGTGTCCTCATCAAATCCACTTCCGCTGTGACTTGGGCTTGAAATCTGACGCCTAGATGGCGCCTCATGCAGCCGGACATCGGCTCTGTCGTAACTTGGGAACCTCTGGTGCAGGTATTGTCGCGTGCAGACAATGCCCTGCCCTGTACCTGATGTGACGGTACACTGACATATCTCAGAGGCTCGTCTAGTGGCCGTTTGGCTGGGGTTATCAGACTGGGGGCAGGGCAAGATTCGACATTCGTCAACGAGGATCACGGCACAACAAGTTCAAGAATGCTGTGCAGCCATTGGCTGTACAGAAGCTTAAACGGGTACGATCAAACCAGGTTAGACTGGCAGATTGATCAAGGTCATCAAAAACGAAAAAAAGAAAAGTTTTACGTACATGCAGCACAGCACCTTATCGGCGGAGCATCTTCGGGACGATCCATCCATCAAACTTGAGTTGGTGGTGGTGGCCGGTGGCCGGTATCTGTTCGGAAATTCGCAATCCTTGCTCTGGTTGGTTGGTCGGTGGGTTATTACAATTTGCTGAAATGACTAAGGTAAGCTGATTGTATTATTGAAATGTTCCATGTCGTGTATAATATTGGTACCCGGGCATCTTACTTTTAGAGCTCCATAAACAATGGCAGAGCCGACGGATGTAAACTGCAAGGCTCCCGTCTGTGCCGCTGCAAAACACAAGTGAAGACAACCGTGGGTACTGTGCCTCACTGTAGCCACACTGTACCAGATCAGGCTGATTGATTGCACTTCAACGGCTCCACCTATCAACATCCTCCTGCATCAGACTGCCTCCAGCTAATTTGATAGGGCGCGCTTGTACTCGCCTACATCCACACTTTGTCTTGCTGTTCATGAAATCTGGATGTGGCCCTGGCTTGAGTGCTTGGCAGAAACAGTAACGCCGCGGCTCCCTGAGAGATTGGGAGTTTCGGTTTGATTGCCGATACATCATGAATATACTTTGCTAGGCGGCTCTATTCGAGTATACGACCTAGTCCGTTTTTAATCATGCATCGGCTGTAATCTCGTTCTCGCTTGCTGATGGCTGATGCCCTGGCAATCATTTTGTCATACAGCTCTTCGACTTGCTGCGCGGTGTGTCGCTTCTTGATTGACGATGCTGACTCCATTTTGCCGCAGGCAACAGCATCATCATGCTGCTAAGGCCCCTTGTCCAGAGTTCACGCGACTCTGTTACTCAAGGTCCAGATAATCAAAAGCCATAGCTATAATCGTCCCGGAGACTTTTATCCACAGAGCCCCCAGCGTCCCGGCTGAATCATACACACTTATGCACCAATGCAGGCCTGCAGGCTCCATGTATCGGAGCTGGACAATGAAGCTATAGGCTCCTTCTGGTGTTCGTGTCAAGGCATGCCGAGAATGTGCATCAAGGCAAAGATGACAATGTCTCAGTCTGGATGACCAGCTCCAAGACCCTCGTGGACCCTGCAAATCATTGGATCCCAGGATGCCCTCCAAACCAAATTAAGCACCGACGGTGTTACCATGACAAGTGCACTTGTGTGCAGACCGCCGATCCAGGGGTAGGTAGCCCAGGCTGAGCAGTCTTGGCTGTAGAGATTCGCCGATGCTATTTGTAGTCTTGTCTCTACCTGTTGGGCTGCCTATCTGGGTATAATCTTTCGGACTATATGCGGTGCGTCGTCTTTCATTTGAAGCACAGATCTTGAACTTATGACAAGCTGACCAAAGAAGAGAGCACCGCATAGATTGACACCTCAGCTGGACTCTTCAACACGCTCAGTCCAGAGCTGTGATTGCTTCCTTTAGACGTGCAGGGCGGGTGGCTGAGACATTGCCCATCCATCCATTGGTATCCTCAACTTTTCCGCGTCATCAACATTACACAACCATCCGTCTCCGCCCGGATGGTGCACTTTCGGTTCAATTTCGTTGGTTTCGATTCGTTCCGGAATCTTTAGAAACGGATACCCTCCGAGGTGCGGTAGGCTCTCGATTTTGTTCACGTATATTGTGACATGAGTGTCCTGCAGCTCAGACACCAGGATTTCCCCAACTTCCCCCGCGATGCACGGATCCCGACGGGACAGTGCGGGCGAGCGGGTGCCGGGAGTTTGTCTTCCAACTAATATGGCTTCCAGGCTTAAATACAGCGACAATTCATGATCGTTCAGGAGACGTAGCGCGTATTCCTTGGATCAGCAACAATGTTATCTCCTCTATGTGATGCGTGTTGATTTTGTCGCTACACAGCCGCTGACTTAGTGGATAATCCGCTTTGGCGACTTGCGCGAACCTGTCTCGAATCTTGAGAATCGGCTTGAGGTCGTGGAGGATATCTATTACCGGGCACACCAAGTTCTTCCCCAATCATCGTGCTTCCGTTAACCACCAGAACCGGCCAGGGCTAATGAAGATGGGACGGGACCCCGATTTCTGCCGTTGCTTAAGTACATGCCGTCTGTATCGAATCGTATGTACTCCGCGATGTTTCCATGTCGGCTACATCATGTGTGTTGACTTGTTCAAAGAACTCTAATTCTCTGACGTCTTACTCACCAGCTACATTGACTGATAATGGATATCAAGCCCCTTCATCCACACAAAGAATGAGGATCACGAGCCTAGTTACAACGGGCGTCCAGCTTATATGTAACCCTTCATTCGAATGACGATTCTCTCTAACCTGCAAAGTTCAGGCAAGTGGAATAATTTCATCGTATCCAAGGGTTTGGCAACTGGAAAAGACAATTCCGGACTCCGCATTCTGTGGTGGCTAGCCACCTAGTACCAAGTTACGTCTAAAGAATTCTACAGCCGCGAAAAGCGACAGCCGCCTCCTATGCCCCCGCTCCTCAATCTGATGTGGGATACCGAGGGGTCCTCGGAGTTAGATCTGACCGCCTTGGAAGATCTATACATGAATTTCTGTGTCGTCCACGTGTATGCATAGAATATCAAGATTCCGCCTCGAAATGGGAAGATGAAAGGCTTGTCGCCTGACCGCAACATATGCGGTGTCAGAGACGTCACGCAGGTACCAGAGTGATCTCTGGCGTGTCCAGCGATTGGAGGTCCATTCTGCACTCTGGCAGACCATTCCTTGCTCCTACTCCACGAGGCTCACGCAGGGTCTGTACATACCTGGCTGCTACTTACTTGCATCTGTCACTGTCACTTGTAACTTGATTACTCTGCCGCATCTCTGGGGAAGAACCAAGAGTGAAGCAGGGGTTGGTGAATTGGCTGACAATGTCCTGAGATCTATGGGAAATACGACATTGATGTTCCCTGTCATTGTTCATGATACATTATATACGGTATGCAGCGTATATATAACTTCCTGGGGAAATTAACTACAGCCTCTTGGTCCACTATCGATCAACAGTTTACCAACAGACTCTCCACATAGGCACCATAGAAATGCCTGATATCCGTTCATCCTTACTTCGGAGATGTCAAAGAGAGGTCTCATTCCCGGGCTATATGCAAGCTTGACTAGTTTGCGTCTGCGGCTGTGCGGCTTCGGCTCTTGGTCGCTCAAGCAAGAGATGCTTTGTAGCGAAGACCTACAAGTTGCACAGACGGGTAGATTAGTTTACGCCCGTCGTCAGTCTCAGATTGATAGACTCGAAAATACAAAGTGCTAGCCAACACTGGACATCATACAATAAAACAACCAAAACGAGAAGCCAACATGAAGCTCGAGACAGTGTTGGATGTCTCGAGTTTGCACCGTCCCCCAAGTCACTCGAAAACTGACCGGAATCCTTGCCTGGGTTTGTCTGACTCCAGACATCCCATCGGGGCCCCATTGCCCGCCCCCACCATCCCGCATCTTTATATACTTACATGATTGGTTCTTGGCGTTATAGCGGATTTCCCCCAAACAGGATTTTGGCTGTCTGCTGGCTTCACACCCCGACCCTTGATCTGCTAGGTTCCAGCAGTTTTTCTAGAAGCCCGCGCCCCTGCATCCTTGTGGTACAATGGAGGGAGCTTGGACCAGGCTGTCAGGCTTCTGATTGCCCGCAGAAAAAGTATGTGCCACCTCTTGCATATGAATCAGCAGCAATATCTCTGTGGGATGCGCGAGCCTCAGCAGATTTAGTGACTTTAATCCTCGGTTTTCTTTTAGCATCTGTGCTTCTTAGGTAAGTTTTTACCCCATGTTCAGAGTGGAATTGGATGATCATTGTAAAGCTACTACATAACATGCAGACTAGCATACGACGAAATGTTGCTGATCAGCGTTTGAGACCTTGGCCACGTCTGTATGTAGTTGGCCGCTCGTCCATGGAATGAGGATTCGTTACCACTTACCAGGAAACGATGACTCGCCTACAAGACCGACCCGAGGAGATTTGTTGACCGGTTCCGTTATGTGGTTACTAACGACACCGGCAGTTTTATGGCTGTACGTGTCCGTTCACATTTGTTTTGTTGGCGATGGGGCTCATCTGCGACGCTTGACGGTAGCTATGTTGGACGCGATGCCCAAAGAGTCTTGGGTTCAATCAGCACGTCGACTCTTGCAATGGCGCTTCCGCCTAGCCGCATCTGCTTCGATCCATGGCCAATCTCCTCGTCTCAGGTCAAGGCAAGTAAGAGGGTGAGGGTCGCCCTTGTCATGTGTTTCTTGAGCCTCTCCGGATGGGTACACGCAGTCCAATTACCACCATCTGCTGCGAGAGAGCGGAAAGTGAGGCTAGGTGTGAAGAAATGAAATGATGTGAAATGAAACGAAACGCGAGCCCTAATCAAGCGTTGAACTGCTAAGCGCCACGAAAAACCAAAGTCGAGAATGGAATAGAATGAAATGGGAAATGCACCCTGCTTCAAATTGGCAAAAGACAGTTTCCATACATTCATTGACTATGACATTAGCAAAGTTTCCTGGTCTTGCCAGACACAGACAGAGCCTCGTCTCCCAGGGGCTACCGATTCCAGGCAAGGCACGGCGCATGAGGTGGGCTCGGTATACCAAGGGCAGCCGCGGTTGTTGGTGGGCAAAGTTGAAAGGAGTCTCCAAACGGGCCGGCTTGTCATGATTCTCCATTTATTATGAAAATGGAGTGGCTATCAATGGATCATGAGAGAGCGTGAGCCTGTGAGGGCAACGGTGCGGTGGCCGGGCAGTTGACGACCGTAAAAGGCAACTCGAGCGTGACCTCAAATGATTGGCTTAAATGCGGTGCCTTGTCTTGCCCTGGAGCTTCTATTGGCTCAGAAGATATTCGAGAAAGAGGACATGTAATTGGTCACCCAGCCATCGGTTAATCACAACCACCCCCACGCTGACCAGGCCAAATTGCAAAATCAAAACTCGCCCATATCTTTCACAAGTAGAAAATTTTTCCCTTTGCAACCACACAAACTCACAAAGTTGGGGTCAACCACAACCACAACTACAACCATTCCGCTGGGCGCCACGAGGTATTCAACAAGATATACCACACGTAGTCGCTGATCGCCGACAGCGGATGCAACCCCAAGGTTATCATCGCGTCGATTCTATCGTCATGATTCTGATTTGAGAATCTCTGAGCTGTCTTGGAAGCGGCCGCTTCCGACACGGCTACGTGCATTCTGATTCAAATGCTGGATGCGAAATATGCTGCCTGACATGGCTGGGATAACAATACCTCCAGCCCTCGCGTCGCAGCTATTCGCCATTAAGCATGGCATCATCTTTGCATTTGCCTACGGCGGGAGCCTCAAGCATGAGGCAATGCTATAATAGGTTTTCCGTGACACTAATATGTTCCCAACAGTTTCTCGCGTGTAATGTTTGCCAGCAACCGCGTTGAGACTTTCTCAGCGTGGTAATCGGCATTCAGTGTCTGCTCTCCATAGACCTGGATGTTTTTGCTCTGGCATAGATAAATCCGAACTCGTTGCTGGGCACCCGACTTTGAGAATGTCGTCTTGACTTCTTGGAGAAGTCGGGAATCAGCTGTAGGCACATAAAAAATGATTCTGTAGTATTTTGATATCCAGCCAGGCCGATAAAATCGACCAGTAGTTTTTGATGACAGCAACAGCTCCAATAGCTGTGAGCCTCGATGAGTCGGCAGTTGACACATTGGTTAGGATCATGAGAGCTACCTTGCATCATGAATGTGACTTACGTCGCGTGGGATTGACGGCGATAGCTGCTGGTCTCTATACCCTGTCTCGTGTCTTTCTGGTCGCTCGAGTGAATTTGCATCTCACCATCACTCTCACTCATTCGTACATTGAAACCGATCATCAACGATCGGCGGGGTGTTCCGAACCGGGCGAACGGCGTCGCCGATTGGTAACTAAGAATTTGGGTGTGAATAGCTCCCGAGATAGTTAACATGGAAGTTGATTAATTGATTACTTGCTTGCTCTACCTTGATGACTTGCCTTGTTTGAACAACGATGCTGACACATTACGGGAGACTAAGGGAACTAGAATAACTGGTTTTCGTCTCGTGTTGCATTTGCCGTGTTTCGGAGCGAACCACGACGAGAAGAAGCTGGAACTTGGACTGTTTGATGCCACAACTATCCGATGTTGGCGGGTCTAGTTAGCCTGGAGGATCAATCATCAAGTTGACTTGACTTGACTTGTGCTTGTATTCGCCCATGCGGTGCTTCTATCTAGTTCAATCACACAAGTCTCACAGGGCTTGCCATGCTGCCAGTGACGTGACGAGCACGGCTGGGTCCGATGAGATGGAAAGAGGCGCCATATGCAGCAGGTGGTGGCCGATCACTGGGACAAAGATGGTGTTGTCGAGGTTCATGATCCTTTTTGTGAGGACAAGTAATTGGGTCTGTTGTGACGGTCGATCGGCCGACGGGAAAGATGAGGGCATGGTCATTAATTGATTTCAGCGAGAAATAATTGCTCAGTCAGTCACTATATTTCGTATAGAAGCCTAAGCATCGTATAGAAGATATCGTAAGGCTTGGCTTTTGCTGGGTTTCGATGGTGTGCTCCATCTCCAACCTCTCAGTCCCCTTACGGAATGGACCTCGGTGTTCGGGGCGGAAGTGGCGGGGTTGCTTTGACCTTGAGCTAGAGCTTCATGATTGTAATTCAACCTCGTATGAGCCACGTATTGTATGCTATTGTATTGGAACAATACACAGACTCGTTACTCATCAAGCCTTGAGCCTATCGAGATATCTCTCGGCTTAATTAAAACGCCATTCATTGGATGCCCTGCTGAGCGTAGGCTACAAAGGCCCGATACATCAACAACATGGTAGACAACAGGTAAGAAACTCCCATCATACGAATACTCAATTACGCATAAGTCACTGCTAAACGAATTACTAACACGTACATCTGTCATAGCCGCGTTGATATCATCTTCATCGGTGCTGGCGCCGTTGGTTGCTTCTACGCTTCACGCCTTCATCATGTAACGTACCCAACTTCATGATAACCTGCATACACTCACTGACCATCATGATAGCCGTCCCAAAATCTTCACGTTTCTCTCGTGGCTCGCTCTAACTATGCTGCTATTCAAAAAGACGGTGTGAAGCTTCTGACACGAAGCTTTGGTGATTACACCTTCAAGCCCGATGCGGCTTTCCCTTCTGTCGATGCTGCTGCTGCTGCCACTTCATCAGGCGCAAAGCGAGACTGGCACTATATCTTCGTGACAACCAAGGCTCTTCCAGATATCAGCGATGACTCTTCCATCATCGAGCCCTTGGTAGGCCCAAAGTCATGTATTGTCCTCATCCAGAATGGTGTCGGTGTAGAGGAGCCCTTCCGCAAACGCTTCCCTAATAACCCAATCGTCAGCGCTGTCACCGTTGTTAGTGCAGAGCAAACCTCTCCTGGTACTATTCGCCAGAACCGCTGGACGCGTATCAGCATCGGACCTTACACAGATGGTTTAGCCTCGAAGGACTCGGAGCTAGGCCGTCGTGGCACAGAGTCAACTGAAGCACTGCGTCGTTGGTGGACAGAACTGGGTGGTATCAAAGACGTGGATCCCCATGATGAAGTCGGTCTTCAGACTGTGCGATGGCACAAGCTCTGTATCAACGCAGCCATGAACCCCTCCGCTGTGCTCTCAGGTGGTCGTGGCAATGCCGATATGGTAGCAGATGACGAGCTCCAGCGACACCTCCTAGGCGTGATGCATGAGATTCGAGATGCTGTGCCCAAGATTCTCGGCAGACCTTTCCCGGACAGTATGGCCAAACCTGAGAAGATCGTTGAGAGCACAGCCCGCAATAAGGGCGCGAGGCCGAGCATGCTTCTGGACTGGGAAGCAGGTAAGCCTTTAGAGCTTGAGGTGATATTGGGTAATCCTGTGAGGATTGCAAGGGAGAGAGGTGTTGAAATGCCTAGGTTGCAGAGCTTGTATGCGCTTTTGAGGTCGGCGCAGGCCATCAGGAAAAGGGAGACCAAGGGGAAGCTTTGAATCAGAATCTTATTCAGAGACGAGTTGCAATATCACATCATCTATTAAGATCGAGATAGAGGTTATGTTAGACATAGTCGAATCGCGTATTATTAGTTATTTATCTATTACTACTTCCATTTAGTTGCCATACAAATTGCTCTGTTCTCGTGATACCAACGTCGGCAATGTAATCACTTCCCTTTTTCTGAGCGAGTGCATATCTTGAAATGAATCTATATGATAAGTTCCATGCTGGAGAAAGGACACGGGCTGGTAACGTCCTTCAATGTTAAATCATGGGTCGGTTTGCTCAGGCTGGTCCTGAGTACCGAGAACCAACAATGAGTATTGTGGTTACGACATAGAGGAGCATATTCCAATGATAGATCGAAACTCATTGGTTGCCCGATCTAAGTCAAACTCCTGATACTCAATCTCTCTTTGCTGTTGCGTCTTGACTCTCCTGCCTTATACCAGCCGTCCCCTGCTTCAAGCCATGATGTGCAACGGCGGTAAACCATCTTATTTTTTAACCTGATGTATGCTTGATTGATCAGTTACTCCTAGTTTCATGAACCGCCTTTTATCGATATTCCCAGAGTCACCAAAGATCGTAAGACTTAGAGTATCCTCATTACTGAAGTTCTGATAGGACCGAGGGAATACATGGGGTCTTTGCCAACTTGATTAGACGCTGAAATTAACCTCAGATAGCCAGTTTAAGGTGTTTTATGAACATATACTCTTGATATTGTGAAGCTAGTATTGTTTAACGCAAACCTACATCCTCTTCTCCACGGCCAGCATCCACTCACTGAGGGCGGTTGCACCCAAGGATGATTTACAATTAAGCAAATGCATTCCAATATAACGTATCACCGGTATGATAGAGAGTGATCTCAAGTATATGTTATTCGGCCTCACTGAAAGTGCATAATAAATGGCCTTGAGGGATAGCGTACCCGGATCTCTCAGCCACTCAACACCAACCCACAGGTATACTCATTACAATTTGACATATTATATGTTTTATTCGAGCTAAATAGTAGCATAGAACCAGGTAATATGTTCATTCACTGCAGATCAATCATAGCTAAACTTGTTTGGCTCTGAGCTCTGAGTGTCACCCCCCTGGATCTCGTCTCCCCCAGCTGTTTGTTGGCTATCATGGCCCGAATAGTATCTTCAGGGGACCAGATATCTCAGAATTAAAATGAAACTTGAAGTCTCATTAAGAAATTTTATGATTCGATACATCAAAAATATGGAACATGCGATAGAATCCATATAAGTAATAGACTCGTCTCTCCCTTGGACGCTGTCCCTGTACAAGTAGGACGGCCAAAACTGACGAAGAGCAGGAAACCATCGATCTACTTACAATCCATTCCTAACAGCTGCCATAGCATGTGGTATTACTCTGGGTGCAGGAAGTATACCACTGTCCGACAATAAATTAAGCATAGCCCTGACCAGATTATCTCGACAGCATTGAGACGAATCACCGGCAACCCGTTTTAATTCGGTATTTTACCATATCTCATAATACCTGTCCAATGTGGTCCTATACTCCTATGTATCATTATCAAACTCATCTGAGTATTCTACAACGCACTATAAATCTCTGAGTATTGCTCGTTTGAACGGTTGGGATAGCCATTTAAGGTCCCCTGCGTTGAGTAAGTATGTTTGTCTATTACATAAAATTATTTGATGATTATGCTTAACCTTGTTTCTAATAATGTGTTCTCATATGGTGAACCAAATCCCTTGAGTAAGGAAACCCATTGTTGAGGCAAGGTCAAAAGTCACACAATTGGTATAGCAGGGGCAGTCAGAGGGAAGATAGACATTGTTTATTGAATAATGGCCCTCAGTGTTCTTGTGAATCTTTAATCATGTCGTAGTTGGTTCATTGCCTTTATCCGAGGCCCCAGTTCTGACTTTGACGATCAAAGATTGCATGAACGTCATAGGAGCTCACTACGTAAGTACTTATATTTAGAAACAAGAAAGATCTGTTAAGATATGCGCAGATCATCGGAGGCAGCACAGATTAGTCAGTCTTATACCATGACGGGCGAGAAACCCTCTTAAATTTCTCAGGTTGACTGACGTCAAGGCTGGGTGATATCATGTGAATCTTGTATTCTGCTGCTCAGCTGCTATCCGATGGAGACACAAGGCCCACAAGCCGAATGTAGATCCTCTGACAAAAATGGAAATGTTCAATTCCTCTTGATCCTCCCTATTTTTGAACGCTACAAGCTCCCTCGGTGGGCGGAGACGCTCGTGGCTACACGTCCCCATTGGCTTCAACGGAGCGACTTCAACCCAACGGTGCTTATACCAAAGAACGGCGTGATGGATAATTGACAAGATCGACCGGATATTCGATGGCAATTCTTCTGTCCATCCTCTACGTGTATGTATGTGTGTCGTAGGTTCAGCTGATGAGGTGGCATCAGAGTGAGGCCGTTGTCCATGCTTGCAAATGAACACGAAACACAAGATACTTCTTTTCCCGCCCTGTTTTCTCGAAACCATACCCTGAGTATAGCTCAGCTACAATACAGTCGTATTAGAGTGATCCCTTAGCCACGTTTTCGACAGCTTCACCGTCCTACTTTAAACCGCCAGCGCTCGGAACTGAGGCCTCTGTAACAAAAGGAAGTATTCTCAACTTGCCGCTGTAAAGAAGGTGAAGCTGAGATAAGTATTGGCGATCAGCCAGGATAAGCTCGATGAAGCTACTGGTTTCAAGCTCCGTAGATCGACCAATCGATATAGAGAAAGCTCGGCCGACCAATGATCTTCGAATATGACACTGCGCAACTAACCATGCATAACATATATGGCTAGGAAGAACCATGCCAATACGCTTTTGCATCCTAGACTTTCTCTCGTTCTCGACCTTTGGATCGTCAAAAGCTATCATATCTCACAATTCGCATCTTAACTGATCTGGAGCTTAGACGATTTCGTGGCTCAACCTAACCCACTCACTTCATCGTT